AAGAAAACGTGACAACTAAATATCTGCTCAATATATCTTTTTTTGAAATGTATTTGCCCTTTTAAATATCTCCCTTGCAAGATTCAACTTTAAGGATAATTTCGGACAGTATCTGTAGTTAACACTCGAATTCAGGTATATAAAAATTAATAATGAGGCAGGAATTTCTACTCAGAAAGCAACTTGATGAATGACGAACCCTCCGCCATAGGCTATATATGATAATATTTTTTTCTTTCTTTAAAGTTAAATCGTTTCAATAATATTAGCGTACATATTTAACATAACGTACATATTTAACATAACATATTGTAATTTTGCCATATTAACAACGTTTTACTGCTGATAATACTGTAGTTGAATTATATTACTGACGAAAGTTTTAATTTCAGAGCAACGAGGCGTGCATAAAAAGAACAGAAGACCGTTCACAAAGGATCCTTCTCAATCTGTCGCGATGAATTAGTTCATTCAAGGTTTATATTACATTTTTATTAGAGTTCCATACTTACTCCCTTCTTTTTCAGATCATAAAATGCAATGGAAAATGTTTATTATTTCTAGTACACTATCCTCAAATACTGTTATCTAGTTATTGGCATAATGGGGTGTCCAAATACTATGGCATTAACTGAAGCTACATCCATTGCATGACTATAACTTATACCAAACTAAATGAGTAATATCTTGATTTTAAAATAATTAATTTTCAGCTTCAGAATAGGAAACTCTCGTCTCAACTCAACCGCGTGACAAAGTTTAATTAAAGACAGTATAGATTAGAATTGTACAGGGAGTGCTGACCTATATTTTGATATTTTACTTAAATATACAATGTGTTATTTCAATGCGTTATTTACTCTTACTGGATGGTAAAAAGTACATGAGGTGATAACTGCCAGAATTGGAAAAATTTAATCGTTAATAATGTTCAATCCCCAGGAAGGTTCCCGAGGACACAGGAACAAAGATTGTAGAGTTGACTAATAGCCATAGGGAGAGGAGGGAGAGGAGGGAGAAGGATCTAAATGCATGGAGCACAATATGATCAGCCTAATACATTTAAGGGGACATGATACACAAAAACCTTTTATGCCGGGACCCTGTAGTTAACTTCATATTAAGAAAGTATACATAAAAACAATAAGATTTTATACATTAAAAATTATTTTTGAGAGCACTCACTTTCGAAAAAATAAATATTTTCTTTTTGGAAATGTTTTAAAATTTGGTAAAGTCTGTCACTGAAATACCGATAATTTAGACATTTTAAAAGTTTTTTGGCTGATTTTTTGTACTGTAATTTTGATCCTTCATGTACCGAACATGAAGATTTAGGGTCCGACCGTAAACTGTTGTTACCATATCATTACAGTAGAACCACCCACTTAACCTCTAAATGCGTGTCTCACATCAATGAAATTAATTTCGTATCTTTAATTAATGCTGTAGGCTGCTCAGAATTTACGTTACACCTTTGAGTAGTAGTACAGAAAAAATCCACACCATGATACACTACCACCCCAATTTCATGTAGTCCATGCAGTTAGCCCCCCCCCCCTGCCTGCCTGCAAGATGGAAATCAACGCATACAGAAAGGTAAGTTGAAGAGTCTCTGAAAGAGAACATACTTGACTGAGATTTTATTTGGCACAGATCAACCAGATTATCACCTTAAATATGGTGCAGGTCTCTGATAAACATTAAAAAATAATGAGTTGTTGAATTGTTAAATTTCAAAGCAGCAAGGTCGGAAAGCAAGCGATAGAATTTACAAAAGACCCTTCTCCATTATATCTCCTCCAGAATCGGTTCTTCAGTATGAGGTAATCCTAATCAAAACTCTTATTACCAAATTTCTGTGTGATAGGTCCCGAAGGGCCGTAATTCTAGCTCACTTCAAGACCAGTGCAGCTATTGTAAATTTCGTGTGGCTTGATAATATAAAATACTAATTTATCGTTTATGAAATAATCCAAAATATTCCACGTGATCAATATCTTCGTTTCGAATATCAAGTAATTGTAAACTTATAATCTTTTAACCTTCCCACTCAGTAACACGCCCATTTAGGGATGGAGTCATTTGAGAGAAGCAAACAAAGATATAAGACGCTCTTATCGAAGAAAAAATACTGTAAGTAATTCTGGTTCAATAATTATCAATAAAACCATTTGTATTTTCGGCTTACGACGGAAGTTAAATAGCGTTTAATTGAATCAATAATTTAAAAAACAAAAGATTCCAGAGATATTCTCGAGATTTATGTCTTCTCGGAAAATTACGCAGCTGCAATTAAAACATTGAATGTAAAGACGATCAACTTAAAGCTTTTGTGTTTTCAGGGAAAAAAAAGAACGCCCCTTTAAAGGACACCACAATCATAGCTTGATGAGAAATTACATCATATATCGAACACTGAACTTAGTCTACCGAGTATCTATAAAGTTAAAATGTAAGTTTGCACTTAGTACATTTTTAGAGTACTTTTTTAACCACAAACCATCGAAATGAAGTGCTATAAATGTTTTTTTTAAATGTCAGATTTTTTAATGACCAATCTAAGAAATTGTACTGATTATTTCAGCGAGAAAAGGATTGGTGAGCGACGGTCAGCCAGTAGTTTGAAAACTCGGACCAAAGCCAACACTACTTTAAAAGTATGTGAATAATAAATTAATAATAAAACAAACACTTTATTGGCAGCTCCTCGAAAAATGTTATGTATTTAGGTTATTTTGCTGATAATTTGTAAGTTTTAGGTAGTGACTAGTTGCGTAATGTCAACCCCTCAGGGTTGCTGCTCAAAAGGGAACATCGACTTCACGATAACTCGGAAAACCCTCATCTCGTAAATCGGCCTTGGAGCTTTCAGACAAACGGAAGCATATTTATCTGCGTGAGTTTTTAATCATAATAATGAAAGAGGAAGCAAAATTTTAATAACTAAATGATATAAAATTATCAATAGTTTAATAGTTAATAATAATTAATTAATAGCATTAAAGCATGAACTCGCGAATCTATTAACTTTGATACATTTAGTTATCTATGTTTTTAATGAGGGCCATTGCAGACGAGAATTAATATCATTCTCAACGATTACAAAATATATATCCACGTAATTAATTACGTTCAAATATTTCAGAACATCGTCAAGACTCAGAAGATGATCATATCTGCAAACAGAAAATGACAGCTTGAAAACGGTCATCAGTATCTTGTATCCCAGAAGGAACCTAGCAACATCCCAGAAGGAACCTAGCAACATCCCAGAAAGCCAGCAGGAACCTAGCAACATCCCAGAAGGAACCTAGCAACATCCCAGAAGGAACCTAACATCCTAGAAGGAACCTAACAACATCCTAGAAGGAACCTAACAACATCCCAGAAGGAACCTAGCAACATCCCAGAAGGAACCTAACAACATTCCAGAAGGAACCTTGCAACATCCCAGAATTGAAGGAACCTAACAACATCCCAGAAGGAACCTAACAACATCCCAGAAGGAACCTTGCAACATCCCAGAAGGAACCTATCAACATCCCAGAATTGAAGGAACCTAACAACATCCCAGAAGGAACCTAACAACATTCCAGAAGGAACCTTGCAACATCCCAGAATTGAAGTAACCTAACAACATCCCAGAAGGAACCTAACAACATCCCAGAAGGAACCTTGCAACATCCCAGAAGGAACCTATCAACATCCCAGAATTGAAGGAACCTAACAACATCCCAGAAGGAACCTATCAACATCCCAGAATTGAAGGAACCTAACAACATCCCAGAAGGAACCTAACAACATCCCAGAAGGAATATATCAACATCCCAGAATTGAAGGAACCTAACAACATCCCAGAAGGAACCTAACAACATCCCAGAAGGAACCTTGCAACATCCCAGAATTGAAGGAACCTAACAACATCCCAGAAGGAACCTAACAACATCCCAGAAGGAACCTTGCAACATCCCAGAAAGCCAGAAGGAACCTAACAACATCATAGAAGATACCTAACATCCTAGAAAGCCAGAAGGAACCTAACAACATCCTAGAAGGAACCTTGCAACATCCCAGAATTGAAGGAACCTAACAACATCATAGAAGATACCTAACATCCTAGAAGAAACCCAATATCCCAGAAGGAACCTAACATCCTAGGAGGAACCTAACATCCCAGAAAGCCAGAAGGAACCTAATAACATCCGAGAACTCATATATTATAACAAACACTACCATACCATTAGTTTAACCGAACACCTTTCTGTGCAATCAATTTTATCAATTCCAATGTTTTCCTAATTTTGTCTATTGAGATTTTACAGTAAAGACATTATATTGTATCTAGAACTGCTATGATCTAGTTATACAGAAAATACCAGAATATGTTAATGACAACAAATTTTAAATTTCGAATATAATAGATTGATTCGAATCAGAATGCCTTATTAAACTTTTATTTTGAAGCTCTCAGATTTTTGAAATACCTCAGATTTTCTCGGAATACCGAAAAAATATTTTCGACTTCCTTTTTGCTTAGATAGGCTCTCTGGATAAATTAGATTATGCGTCAGTTACATCATATAACAATATTTCAATACTTTTTAAATTTAATTTTGATTGATTTAATTTTGAAAAATTACAGTTTATTTTTTGATGGGTTTATGAGGAACGATGTTGTCTTATTTGACCTACATTCTACAACTTTGTTAAAATTATTCTCCTTGAAAGAGAAAAGTGGTGACTTTCATAATTGTATATATCATATATAATATAATAATATAATAACACAATAAGACTATCAGAACTTATCATGCAGAAACACAGTCCTTCAATCTAAGGAAAACGTAAAACCGTAAAAATGTATAATATAATAATAATATATGATAGAATATATTATATTTTATTTGAATCCCAGAATAGCATAAGATACAAAATAAATACTGATTAAAAAGGATTTCTCCAATGAATATGGTTACTAGGTCTTTTAATACTTTCAACACTACTATATAACAAATAATTTGAGCATGAATACGAAGTTGTTACTTTGAAATGTCGTTTATCCTAACAGTGCAGTATCATTTGTCGCAAGAAATCAGAATAATCAGAAATTATTTGGAACTCCCAAAAACTGTCTATTGTTACTAGGTCTGATATATTACGTAGAATCCACTGCATAACAGGGGACGTATAAAGAGGGGGATAGAACATCATTCCCTGTAAAAACAAGTGCATGTTCCGTTATCGTAATGCCGGTATTGTTTACGAGGGCACTCTTCAATAACCATACTTATCCTACAATTAAACGCATCAGTTAGCTTTTTAGAAGTTCTCAAGTAATGAAGAAACCATGTTCCATCAAAATTATACCTGGAATTCACTTCGTTTTTGACGTAACGGCCCTTTTTCTTTTCTAATTGAACCTCATTAGTATTTATCCCTAATTTCCGTGTCACGTGATACACCAGCCATCCCACAAACCAGTCCTCTGGCTCCGCTACAGTAATATAGACGGAGGAATCTAGCTCCGCAATGTGCTGGATCAGGTCACGTGACAGGAAGTAGCCGCCTCCCAGACAGTAGCGGTGATTCCGGTAGTTCACAGTCAGCTCTGGTTGGAACTTGTCCACATACCGGTCTGGGAGGATTCCGTAACAAGTTCCTGAATACACCATCTGGTCTGAGGGCCGTTCTGAGAGCCCTTTTATTAAATCAGGGAGAATAACCAGAGTGTCAATATCTACCTTTACTAAGTAGCTGAAGTTGTAGAGGAGGAGACTTCGTAACATCCCCCACAGTACCTTGTACTTCAGTACTCCCGCCTCTTCGAACAGGTAATCTACTGTGAAAATATCGTCGTGTTCTGATTTCTCCGCTAGGAATTCCGGACTGTACTCCTTTCCCTTGATCCGGCCGACGACAAACATAGTTTTGAAGTTTAGAAACTTTGTGTCCACCCCGCTAAACTCGTCCTCTGGCCATGCAGATATATTCATCCAGGTAGATCGTAGGAGTTGACGGTGACTGACTTCATTTGGCATGGTAGGAATTAAAAATACGATAAAATGAGAGTTCCGTTCTGAAGTGGCACTGTAATCTGAGTTATCTGAGTTATCACTAGAAAATGGGGAGAGGTATGCAGACGAAGTGACAGTTACAGTAAGATTCCCTCCACTTCCATCTGAGTTATAATCAGAGGAAACCCATAGTATTAGCCCAAATCCAACAGAAATTGCGGCCAAGGCAAAGGGCAGCGTCTTTCTCGGTTTACGGATAAACATTAGCAAACAACGACGACGTAATGTCCCCACAAGTGATATTGACACCACATGGTAATTATACTATTTACACGTATACTGATATGAACAGCCGAGTGAGCCACATCAAAAACAGAGGAGAACAATTAAATAGTTGATACACTGCTTTCTATATTACATTGTCGAGCAATGGAGATGTTGCCGTGAAGGCGAAGGACAGCGCCCTGCTCGAGGGCGCTGCGTTAGCAAATAACTACCGCCTAATTCATACGACAGCCACATCAAAAAAATGAGAACAATTAAATATGTAGTTTACCTGTGCTAACTTTTAAATAGCTGGTTTTTAAATGCGCAACTTTTTATATACACTGATTAAGTGTCGGGATCAAGTATCCACCAAATCTTAAAATTATCATAACTCAGCTTAATTTTGAACAATTAACTTGAAATTTTGGGAAATCATTCAAATTATCAAACCAAATGTGTCTATAAACTTTGGAGTTCCTAGCTCAAAGCGTTCTCACTTTATGGCGACAATAGTGAAAAAGAGGGAGTGGCGTGCCACACCCTCTGTAATCAATGAAATTTTTCGAAACTTTCAGAACTTCTAAGTTTGACCCATATCTATAATCTCTGAAATTTTTTGTGAAATTCTGCCACGAATTACGTTAGTTAAATGGTTGCGTGTGGGTAGTTATTTTTGGGCCACCCTGTACTATGCCCCCCCCCCCTGTACTATGTAATATCAGTCTCCGAGAACGGTTCCAATAAAATGAGGTTACTCAAAATAAAGGAGTGTACTAAGTTCCAAACCTGAAGTTTATCCATCATTGGTTCAGCCTCTTCCACCACCGCCTCATCCTTGCCCTGATATTGCAGCTTAAACATCGGGTCCGTGCCAAGCCTTTTCCTCTCTTCAGGTTCTAGTGGAAAACCTTATATCAACATAGTGTTCTACTGTCAACGAGAACTTATTAAATCTATCCATATTGTTCTATAACTATATATAATATACAAATAGTGTGACAGTATAATTTCAGATTCTAGTTTTCCGCGACCCAAATTTTGCTCTTTTGACTGAATTTTTCTTCAATGACCATCTAGCAAGGTCACTGAGGATGTCACAAGACACGATTGAGGTACTGAAAGTTCTATTCCCAAAGAGAGCTTTGATAAACGGAAAATCATCAGAATAGAAGAAGAGATTTTGGAAGATTTTTGAAGAGAACCTTTTCTGCCGTCTCCTTGACCAAAATTTCACGGTTTTGATTGAATTTTTGACCAGTGACCAATCAGTGAGGTCGGTGAGAGTGACTCAGGTCACCATCAAGGTACTGGAAGCTGTATATCCGGAGAAAACTTTGATGGAAGGAAAATTTTGAAAATGTCCTACCGGTAGGACATTTTCAGCTTTCTGCGGCCCAAATTTCGCTCTTTTGACTGAATTTTTCTTCAATGACCATCTAGCAAGATTTTTACTGAATTTTTGTCTCCATCGAGGTACTGGAAGCTGAAAATTCGGAGATAACTTTAATAAACTGTAGGTTTCTTGTCGACTTGAACCCTCGTGTTGCCCCTCCCCCCCCCCCTCCAGTATATATGAAAACACACTAACCATGAGCAGCCGCACACTCTGCGTCGTTCTGATCGTACCGTTCCTCTTTCCTCCTCCCTCCAGATGCTATGCTGTGTAGTCGAAATTCTGTAAAATCATCATTTGACTTTATACTTTAGAGGGAATTCAAAACTGACAATAGAAAACTCCAACAAGTTGCAAATTTTCAATTAACAAATGAAAATTTCAGCAGAAAACATTTATTCTAGTCACTAGTGTCTAGTCACTAGTGGTCCCCTTGTAGTGATTTGTCTAGTCACTAGTGGTCAGTGGTCACTGGTCCCCCTTGTAGTGATGTGTCACTAGTAGCGGTTACCTGAGGATCAGTGTGCATCTCAATGTAATTGTCACAGAGATGACACTTCATTCTGAACTGCCAGATAGGCGTAGTGTAATACATTCCTATCTTCTTCTTCTCAGCGTTATACCGCACACCTGTATATAGGGTATACTTATTACTTATCTTATAGCTTATATCAATAGTAGATTACAGTAAGTAGGCAGGTACCTACGTGTGAGCAGGTTAACACACGTACCCACGTGTGAGCAAGTTAACACACGTACCCACGTGTGAGCAAGTTAACACACGTACCCACGTGTGAGCAAGTTAACACACGTACCCACGTGTGAGCAGGTTAAGACACGTACCCATGCCGATGTGGTTTTCACACCCTCCACACCAAATGTTGAATGGCATCTCGAACCTGATGACCATGATACCCAAGTGCAGCTTATTTGCTCGCTCTCTGAGAGGGTGTACTCCATGGTACTTGTCCAATCCACCCTGCAACAATATTAATCAATGGGAATTCAGTATCAACTATAAAAGTTTACTGAAAGAAGAAGAAGAAAAACATTTTTAAAAAAGTGGCACGGGAAAATTCCTAAGATAAAAAGTAATTGAATGTGCGCCATTGTTTCTAATACAGTTAAACCTCTCTATACCGGTCCAGACTAACTAAAAGTGACTTGCTTACCATGGAGGGGTCCCAATCGGGAGGGTAGTACTTGTTGACTGCTTTACGTTCCCCCATCCTACGATAACCAGTTAATTAATTACAGTTAATAGAAACTATTTCAATTCCATTTATCAGAGATGTTTGAACAAAAACCTTGAAAATTCAAAAATAGATTATTCATATGTCAGATTCATATCGATGGAAAATACCATCATAGCATAGACATCAAATATTTTGGTTGGGTTTGATTTGACATATTTTGATGTTTATCTAATGACGCAAATAAACGCAGAAATCATAAGATCAAACTGAATAAGTTATGTGAAGCAATAAAAATAAATAAAAAATAAAATTGGATAAAACAGCGCGAAGCATTTAAGTCCAATTCTTTGCATACTTAAACAAACAGCTCAGATTTCAATTAAAGCGAAGCTTAAAATTTTGTTTTTGGTATTCAAATAAAAAAACTGCAAAGGCGATGCTTAAAATTGTAGGCCAGCCTGTTCAAATAACTTCCAGTCTAATTTTAGATAAAGCTCAAGAAATCGTTAAAAACATTCCTCATATTCCTACAAATAAAGACTAGCTGCGAATACAATGTCCCTCTTGATAGCCGTGCTTGCCTCACTAAACTTCTTCTCCAGTTCATTGTTGCCAATAGCTTTAGCAGCCAGTATCATCTGTCTCAGCAGCTCCTCCAGTCTCCTCATTACTCGTATGATGCTGCCTTCAAACACTGGGGTCATCTTACAGATGTCGTAAAACTTAGCTCCCTGGGAAACAGAAGTTTAGTGATAGTAACACAGGTAAAAGGAAGAGTACACAGGTAAAAGGAAGAGTACACAGGTAAAAGGAAGAGTACACAGGTAAAAGGAAGAGTACACAAGTACAAGGAAGAGTACACAGGTAAAAGGAAGAGTACACAGGTAAAAGGAAGAGTACACAGGTAAAAGGAAGAGTACACAGGTAAAAGGAAGAGTACACAGGTAGAAGGAAGAGTACACAGGTAAAAGGAAGAGTACACAGGTATAAGGAAGAGTACAAAGATAAAAGGAAGAGTACACAGGTAAAAGGAAGAGTACACATGTAAAAGGAAGAGTACACAGGTAAAAGGAAGAGTACACAGGTAAAAGGAAGAGTACACAGGTAAAAGGAAGAGTACACAGGTAGAAGGAAGAGTACACAGGTAAAAGGAAGAGTACACAAGTACAAGGAAGAGTACACAGCTTTATATAAGAGTACACAGCTCTGTGAAAGCCACAGATTTTGTCCAATCAAAACTCCGATAAAACTTTACAACCTTCATCTAGACCAGGATAACAACTAAAAACATGGTAATCACGTACACTAGCCCAGGCGTGCACCACTTGCATAAGTTCCCACTTGAACTTGTCCACGTACTCGTCTACATCAGTGTCTAGTTTACACTCGTTCTCCACTACTGCTATTCTCCGCGCTACCTCCGTTACTTGTCTGTACGGAGCTGGGAGAGAGAGGATAGTAGAGGAGAGTTACAGTTATACTAGTGTTCCTGGACAGTAATGACATGTATAATTATTATATATATGGACACGTTCATTTGAGTTTGAGGATATTGGTAAACAAAAATAATAGCGTTTTTGACGATAGTGGCTTAATTTTGACTTCTATTAACCTAGCACGTTCAGAAGTTCTGAACATTAGCCACGTAACCCATACTCCCATATGCACCGCTCAGAAAGAAAATCTATTGTTGTTAGGCACTATAATGTTTCAAATGTCACATTTTGTGTGACTTAGTTAACTGCAGTTACCTAATTATCATTCCTTGGTCTGAAATATAGTAAATTAGGTCAATCTAACAATTATGATACAACATTGGTTAATGGGCACGGATCGAACGGTTACATGGCAATATTTGGGTAACTTTGTCACACTCATGATACCATACCTCTATTCTACTGTGAGGTGTCCTAAAAACCCTTTCAACTAATTATTTGATGGTTGCTCTACCAATCATAGCCCTAAAATATGTTGTTCTGAATAGTTAGCTAATACAGGCACTCGGTTATTGGGAAATGAGGTTAATTCTGTCACAATATATGAAATTTAAAATTTTGGGCGAATTATTTATATCTGATTTTGGTTTGAAAGGCGGGAAAATTTTATATGATGACAATGTAGTTGATGCAAGTTAAGATCAGTTGACGTTTACATTGTCACAAAAAAGTATACGAAATCGTAAATAGATTAAAAACAATGATTATAGAATGAAATAGTCTCTTATAATAACTCTTATAATAACTGATGTGACAAAGTAAACATGTCTTGCCCCTATTTTGAAGATCTATATTCTATACCTCTATTAGAATATTGTCCAGAACATCAGAGCTTAAGTTTAACAATTTTAGGTTAAATTTGTCAAAGTCACTAAAAATGTGACAAAATTAACTTTTCATGCCCCAACAATTTCAAGATAGTGTGTAAAAATTAGCATAGGCTGCTTTATTACCTATATAAATCAATCCAAACTACAAAAAAATATATGTTAATGTGATGTCGACGATTACCTAACTCTTATAATAACTGATGTGACAAAGTAAACTTGTCTTTCCCCTATTTTGAAGATCTATAACTCTATTAGAATTCAACATTCTTTCAGAAACGATTGGAAGAATATTGTCCAGAACATAAGAGCTCAATTTTAAAAATTTAGATTCATTTGTCAAAGACATTGAAAATGTGACAAAATTAACTTTCCCTGCCCCAACAGTATCAAGATAGTGTGTTAAAATTGGCATAGGATTTATTACAGGTATATTAAAGTATTAATCGATCCAAACTACGAAAAATATCTTTTAATCTGATGAAGATTACCTAACTCTTATAATAACTGATGTGACAAAGTAAACATGTCTTGCCCCTATTTTGAAGAACTATACCTCTATTACTATGTTACTTTATCATCAAAAAAATGTCGATAAACTAGTTATTTTGCCAGCAAGGAGCTATAACAGAGTTATAATAATTTTGTGTGACGAAATTACCCTATTTTTGACCATGTAGCGGTAGTTTAATTGTGACACTGTTAACATATTACCACCTGATAATGATTTATGTGACTGGTGCATGGTACTAGCAGTGTTGTTTGATCCATAGTACGTATAATATAAGGGGTTTGAGCTGGTATCATTATTTGTTCAATTTCACACATGTTCAGATATCATCAAGATTATATTGTGACAAAGTAAGCTTGGTTGTGCCTTCTGTGTTTTAATTCCTTACGACTATATAATATAATAACAATTCCCAGCACTTCCAGGCCATCAAATAAACTTACACTACCCATCATTACTTAGCAGGGTGCCCTAAACATTCATCACATATTTTCTTTAATGTGTGACAGAGTAAACCTGAATGCACCATCTAACTAAAAAAGTCGTCAAATATGTAGGTAATGGTCATATGTACCCATCCAATCAACTGGACACTCAAAAATTTGGTCAAAAACGGCAGCAAGGGGTCCATATTTACTCCGTCACATGTTTATAGTGTGACAATGTAACCATTTCCGTGCCGGCCGTATTTAAGCGATATCTTATCACCTGATTAAGATATCTTTATGTGACAAAGTTAGCCTAGAGGATGAGACGATTATCCTAACCATCAAGGGTTTAAGTAATTTCATAGTGTGACAAAGTCAACTACACTGTGCCTTTTAATAGGGTCACTTATATAATATATTTACCAATATCCTCAAACTCAAATGAACGTGTCCATATATATATATATATCACGTGAGAACACGTGCTGAGTAGATACCTTTAAGAGACTCTAGAGTAAGCTGAGGAGCCTCCTTGACATTTTCCTCGAACACAAAGCAACTCAGAACAGCTGCGATAACGGGGGGTTCCAAGTCGTTAAATGTTCCGTTAAATATTAGCTCTGCTAGTGCTAACTCCTGACCTAGTGAGATATTGTGGTTTATTGGGGGGGGGGGGGGGGGGGCACTACTGATATCATGGTCTATTGGGGGGGGGGGGGGGGGCACTACTGATATTATGGTTTATTGGAGGGGGGGCGCTACTAATAATAATATGTTTTATTGGTTAAATATAATTACCAGCAGGGGGTTTCAGAGACAAATCCAAAAACTTCAAACAGAATCTAATAGTGTATTGTGGAAACTGAAACCTCAACTAATGGGGAGGGACCACTACTGAAATGGGGGGGGGGGGGGGGGGGGGGGGCACTTCTGAAATGGGAGTGGGTCACTACTGAAATGGGCGTCAGCACTTACCAGTGGATATCTCACAAGCTACTCTGCCCTTAGTCTCTATAACGTCAGCACTGTTGCAGTACCCTAATCTCCTCAGCACTCTCTTCCTGCACTTCAGTTCGTCTAACTGTAGCACTGTGAGGTGAAGGTTAGCACGTGATACAAACTAACAACACGTGATACAACACATGATACAAACTAATAATACAATAACTCTTCCTGTGTTCACCGTCAATAATGTTATATTTTAAACTCCAGATAGAGAAATTCCAGCAACTAAAACAAATAATGGTTTAATATATGTTAACACTTTATTGGTGTGTAGTGTTTAAGTATTATATAACTTTACCTGTTCTCGCGTCTCTGAGCTCCTGTTTGGTATCTTTACACTTTATAGCTAAAGTGTTCTTCTTCTCACACAACTCATACAGTCCCTCTAGCTTAGGATCATCATGAAGGGGGTGTTTGAATAACCTGACAAGGTTTAACTGTTTACCACTTAATAAACACAAGGATAACTAACTAATTGGTAGTTGGTTACTGTAGTATCTCGTTTATCTCCTCACTAACTTACCTCTGTTCCAAGACTTCAATCTTCCTGACGGTCTCCTCGAAATCAGCCTCCTTGATTTTCATATCCTCTACAGGGTCCAGTAACGGAACACCGTCTGGGAATCTCTTCTCTACTTCTTTTAATGACTTGCCGACACTCTCCCGGTTTTCTAAAATAGGAGTGTTTGTTGAGGTACACACTTCACACGTCGATAATATTATTTCTCCAGAATATGTTATAGGTTGATTCTATTTAATATTGAGAAAGTGGAATTTAGTAAATTCAGTCTCACCCAGAGGGACGAGGTTTTTAGGAAGGTATAGTCTGACGGCGGAGACTCCAGTAACGAGGTGGAGCATTAGTGGTACTATCTGGTACTCGCCCTTACCCCCGGGGGGACAGGGCTTAGGGGGCACGTTAGGTAAGACGGGGGTCGCACAATTAAATAGCCCTTCTACCACATACAGGGGCTCTGCTGATCCTGCAAAGTCAATTAGTTAATTAGTTAATTAGTTAATAAGTTAATTGATATGTTAATTGATTAGAGATTAGTTATCACAGAACACTGATAACTTAAGTTGAAAGTACGCCGTTAGATACTATCAGCTTTTTAAGGAATAGCACTTTATCTTATTCTAGTTCGCTATATCATACTGCATAGGGGGGGGGGGGGGGGGGGGGTCCACGTTAAAAAAAGTTAAAAAAGTTAAATTAATTAATGTTAAATTTCAAAATTCAGGCTTAGAAAGTTTAACTTTTTTAACATAAATTCAAATTTGGGTTGAAATTGCAATGGAGTGAATATTCTAGACTAGTTTATTTTTAGGTCATGCGTTGGTATTTTTGTTCATTAGTCATTACATGTAGGAATATAGGAATGCCCATGACAAGAGTAAAACAGTCATATAACATAGGTACAACCGATAAATAATTGATACATTTGATCATTACAATAATAAATTATAATTCATAGAAATATAAAACAGCTGATTGATAAATAATTTTTTTAAAACAACAGATTCCATTCACAGTGTCAACACTGAAAATAGGGCTATGATAATCTATATCATTAAATCTAGTGATACTAATCGTAATGAATTAATAACTGAATAAAATTCTAATGATGTTTCATAAAAGTTATCGCTCAAACAAAGAGTCACTGTGTCACGATATTATATTACAAAATTAAAAATAGTGTCGATGACACACCCCCTCCCAATTCTTCCACGAACTCTGCGTTTAATTTCACGTACATTCATTGTGCTATCATAGAGTTTTAAGATTATGTAATAACATAATAACGATAAACTATACCTTTCACTGACGATCAGGATGGCTGTAAATAGCAGGAAAACTTGACAGTCAAATCTCGAGGTGTTGGAATAATATCAGCTTAGTTTAAAAAGAGAATGATCTGACATCCTGCACATATCATTGTAAAATTAAAAAAATTCTAATTGGTAACTATGTAAATTCATAAACTTAGTTAAATAAAAGTTGAAGATCATTATAACTAATGCAGTCGCCGTTAAGCAAATTAAGAGCTCAAAATTGACACGGTTCATCATAACTGCTTAACTGATAAGGATATTGGTTAAATATAGAGGTCTTGGAAAAACCTCGCTGGTTACAGAGATACCTGTACTACATCTCTACTAAAATTCAAAGAATTGTTTTCTGTCTGTATGTCTGTACGACCGCCCACGTGCAAAATTAGAATGAAAAATAGAATTTAGGTAACAACCAAAAGGTTCCATAGCATCGGTTGTTTTAATGCACACATGCACGAGCAAAGATTGTTTTAACGTCATTTTGATCGGTTTTGTGGTAATTACGTTGTGTTTAAACTTTTAAAAGTGTTTTATATTTAAATCGGCTGTATCTTCGGTTGAGATGGATATTTTTTGATGCGATTAAAACTTTCTTTCAAAGAATACTACTAGCTTCGTCCCTGTTACCACGGGCTTTCTAGTAGTTAATAAAGTAAATCACAGCAGCCCAATCCAATGCTAGTTAAATTGTATAAAACAAACTTAAGAAAACTAAAAAACTGATTAAATGTTAAAACAATTGAAATTCAAAACTACCGAGCAATATCAAGGCTGGGTAAAAATAAAACCTTTCAATTATCGAGAGAATAAAATTAAAATATCTGCAAAAGTAATTTAATAATTAGCTGAATAATTTTAATTAGCTGTATAATATTAAATAAATGGAACATTGAAACTTATTCAGAAATATATAAATTCATTTTGTACCATTGTCCATTATAAAAGTATCAATACAATCTGTGTTTCCTGACGAGGAGGGCCAGGGGATGTTATTTTCGTGGATTCTAACATTCTCCCTTCACGATATTAGCTACTCCTCTAATAAGGATCCGTTTGGCTGCATGCAGGATAGTCAGCCGATGACATTTGTCAAATATTTCCAACTTGTCCAGGTCACTTTCCTGAACACACTGGAAAATTACTGGGTGATCCAAATCCCGCCTCTTCCAACTGTTCCGTGTAACATTCCGGACCATATCGTGACAGCCACCCTTCTAATGAGTATTGGTCGGGCTGTAAGCCATTTCCTTGGGTCCCGACTGAAGTCTGACTGTAATGTTCATCCCCCAAATACTCTGCCCACTCCTTCCCAGTTTCTCTGACGTCCCGTTATACTTGGCATCAATAGCATTCGCTACTACCTGTAATCAGTCCCGCAATTCCAACCCATTGACCACTTACTGTGTACTTGTGGTAGGCCGACATGCTTTTTCCTATTATATGAATGATTATATTAGTAAATTATACAATTATGTGTATATAGGGGGGTGACATGTCTCCAATGTCTCCAATGTCTCTAGTCTTTTTTGAAAAGATAGGGTGCAGAGACATGTCCCGGAGACATTGGAGACATTGGAGACATTGGAGACACAGCTTTTGGAGACATTGGAGACATTGGGGACATGGAGACAAAGCTTTTGGAGACATTGGAGACATTGGAGACACTGGAGACGTAGAGTATGATTGGAGAAGGAGGACGATCTAGGAGGAGGATGACCCAGGAGGAGGACTCAGGAGGAGGAGGAGGAGGATGAGGACTCAGGAGGACGACTCAGGAAGAGGACTGAGGAGGACTGAGAAGGAGGACGGACTGAGGAGTACTGAGGAGGATGGCTGAGGAGGATGGCTGAGGAGGATGACTGAGGAGGATGACTGAGGAGGAGGAGGAGAAGGACTCAGGAGGAGAAGGAGGAGGACCTAGGAGGAGGACCCAGGAGCAGGAGGACCCAGGAGGAGGACTCAGGAGGAGGAGGAGGAGGAGGACCTCAGGAGGAGGACTCAGGAAGAGGATTGAGGAGGACTGAGAAGGAGGAGGACTGAGGAGAACTGAGGAGGAGGAGGATCAGGAGGAGGACTAAATAGGAGGAGGAGGGGGACCTGGGGGAGGACTGAGGAGGAGGGGGACTTGGGGAGGACTGAGGATGAAGAAGACTGACGAGAAGGATGAGGAGGAGGACTGAGGAGGAGGACTGAGGACTGAGGAGGATGAAGAGGAGGGAAGACCCAGGAGGAGGAGGACTGAGGAGGAGGATGAGGACTGAGGAGGACTGAGGAGGATGGCTGAAGAGGATGGCTGAGGAGGATGACTGAGAGGGAGGAGGAGGAGGAGGAGGAGGAGGAGGAGGAGGGAGGAGGAGGAGGAGGAGGAGGAGGAGAAAGATGACTGAGGAGGAGGAGTAGGACTGAGGAGAAGAAGGAGGAGGACCTAGGAGGAGGAGGACCCAGGAGGAGGACTCAGGAGGAGGAGGAGGAGAACTCAGGAAGAGGCCTGAGGAGGACTGAGAAGGAGGAGGACTGAGGAGTACTGAGGAGGATGGCTGAGGAGGATGGCTGAGGAGGATGGCTGAGGAGGATGACTGAGGAGGATGACTGAGGAGGAGGAGGAGGTGGAGGAGAAGGACTGAGGAGGAGAAGGAGAAGATGGAGGAACTAGGAGGAGGAGGACCCAGGAGGAGGACTCGGGAGGAGGAGGAGAAGGACTGAGGAGGAGAAGGATGAGGACCTATGAGAAGGAGGAACCCAGGAGGAGGACTCAGGAGGAGGAGGAGGACCCAGGAGGAGGACTCAGGAGAACTGAGGGAGGAGGAGGAGTGAATAGGAGGAGGAGGGGGACTGGGGAGGACTGAGGAGGAGAGGACTAAGGAGAAGATGAGGAGGAGGACTGAGGAGGGAGGATGAGGACTGATGGAGGAGGACCTGAGGAGTACTGAGGAGGATGGCTGAGGAGGATGGCTGAGGAGGATGTTGAGGAGGATGGCTGAGGAGATGACTGAGGAGGATGACTGAGAAGGAGGAGGAGGAGAAGGAGAAGGACTGAGGGAGGAGGAGGAGGAGGACTTAGGAGGAGGACTCAGGAGGAGGACTCAGGAGTACTGAAGAGGATGGCTGAGGAGGATGGCTGAGAAGGATGGCTGAGGAGGATGGCTGAGGAGATGACTGAGGAGGATGACTGAGAGAGGAGGAGGAGGAGAAGGACCTGAGGAGGGGGAGGAGGAGGAGAGGGGAGGACCCTTGGAGGAGAGAGACTCCAGGAGGAGGGACTCAGGATCGGAAGAGGACTCAGGAGGAGGACGGAAAAGGACCTGAGGAGACTGAGGAGGAGGAGGAGGAGGAGGAGGACTGAATAGGAGAGGAGGGACTTGGGGGAGGACTGAGGAGGAGGGGGGACTTGGGAGGACTGAGGAGGAGGAGGACTGACGAGAAGGATGAGCTAGGAGGACTGAGGAGGAGGACTGATGATTGAAGAGGAAGAGGAGGAAGATGAAGAGGAGGAGGAGGAGGACCCAGGAGGAGGAGGACCCAGGAGGAGGACTCAGGAGGAGGACTCAGGAGGGGGGAGGAGAACGACTGAGGAGGACTGAGGGAGGAGGTGGAGGAGGAGGAGGAGGTGGAAAACTGAGGAGGAGGAGGGACTCAGGAGGAGGGACTCAGGAAGAGGACTCAGGAGGAGGACTGAGAAGGAGGAGGACTGAGGGAGAACTGAGGAGGGAGGAGGAGGAGGACTGAATAGGAGGAAGAGGGGGACTGGGGGAGGACTGAAGAGGGGACTTGGGGAGGACTGAGGAGGAGGAGGACTGACGAGAAGGGTGAGGAGGAGGACTGAGGAGGAGGACTGATGATTGAGGAGGAGGAGGAGGATGAAGAGGAGGAGGATCCAGGAGGAGGAGGACCCAGGAGGAGGAGAACGACTGAGGAGGACTGAGGAGGAGGTGGAAGAGGAGGAGGAGGAGGAGGAGGAGGAGGAGGAGGAAGAGGAGGAGTCTCCAAAAGCTGTGTCTCCATGTCTCCAATGCCCCTAATATCCATTTTATGTCCCTTATGTCCCCAATGTCTCCAATGTCCCCAATGTCTCCAAAAGCTGTGTCTCCAATGTCCCCAATGTCCCCAATGTCTCCAATGTCTCCAAAAGCTGTGTCTCAAAGTCTCCAATGTCTCCAATGTCGTTGTCTTTTCGAAAAGATAAGGTGCGGGAGACATTGGAGACATGTCACCCCCCCCCCCCCCCCCCCCTATATATAGATACAAGGTGTTTTTTTGTAGAGTTATCAAATCAGTTACAACTACAGAAAACAATTGCAAGAGCGAGGTACTACTAGTACTAAATATAAAGATCAACACTCATAATTGAGTTTAATTTGGGTAATTATGTTAAAATTTGAACCGATTAGTCAGCCAAAATCTGATTTTTAATTTATGTTAAAAAAGTTAAAAAAGTTAAAGTAATTAATGTTAAATTCCAAAATCTCGATCTTAGAATTTAACTTTTTTAACGTGGACCCCCCCCCTGCATACACGATATTATGATCAACTAAGAACGTGTATCATAACCATAATCACGTGACTTACCGCCCTGCTTTCCCTTCTTCTGGAAGTTGACCACAACTCCCCATCCCCAATTAGTTAATTAGTTAATGACTTACCGCCCTGCTTTCCCTTCTTCTGGAAGTTGACCACAACTCCCCATCCCCAATTAGTTAATTAGTTAATGACTCACCGCCCTGCTTTCCCTTCTTCTGGAAGTTGACCACAACTCCCCATCCCCAATTAGTTAATTAGTTAATGACTCACCGCCCTGCTTTCCCTTCTTCTGGAAGTTGACCACAACTCCCCATCCCCAATTAGTTAATTAGTTAATGACTCACCGCCCTGCTTTCCCTTCTTCTGGAAGTTGACCACAACTCCCCATCCCCAATTAGTTAATTAGTTAATGACTCACCGCCCTGCTTTCCCTTCTTCTGGAAGTTGACCACAACTCCCCATCCCCAATTAGTTAATTAGTTAATGACTCACCGCCCTGCTTTCCCTTCTTCTGGAAGTTGACCACAACTCCCCATCCCCAATTAGTTAATTAGTTAATGACTCACCGCCCTGCTTTCCCTTCTTCTGGAAGTTGACCACAACTCCCCATCCCCAATTAGTTAATTAGTTAATGACTCACCGCCCTGCTTTCCCTTCTTCTGGAAGTTGACCACAACTCCCCATCCCCAATTAGTTAATTAGTTAATGACTTACCGCCCTGCTTTCCCTTCTTCTGGAAGTTGACCACAACTCCCCATCCCCAATTAGTTAATTAGTTAATGACTTACCGCCCTGCTTTCCCTTCTTCTGGAAGTTGACCACAACTCCCCATCCCCAATTATCCTCGTTGTGATGCACTTTCATTAATCTACCAGGCTGTAGAAATGACAGAATGTACCTGACAAAGTCAACTTGAGGGGCCAGTCACCTCGCACATTTTAAAGAATCTCATTAAGTTGGTGTATCCTCTATATACTCTAGTAGCAGGTATACGCCCTGCTACTAGAATAATACTATACAATTGAGTTATTAGCTCCCACATGTTATCTTAAATTAGTACTGCAAAAATATAAATATATAAAAAATATAAATATATAAAGTATTCTTTTCTTATCCCTCCCTGTGTATTATTATTAAAGCAATCAAATTTTATTATTCACTACAAAAAGGTAAATTACCTGGGTTTGTGAATGTAAGATGTGATAACTTTCTGTAACTTTGTGAGCTGTTGCCGCAGGTTAAAGTATGTCCGCGCAGAGTCTTCGTTGGGGATCTGGATAGCCGAGTGCTCTACTTCTGATAACTGGAAATGTAAGGGTTGATTGACAAGGACTCAACATAAACTGGACGAGTGCTTACTATCATAACAAGATTTAAACACAAGTAAATATTGTTAAATAAACAATATTGGCCTGGTAAGTTAGGGATTTATTTATAAATGTATGCGTTTTGTGAGCACTTTTAGCACTATGTGCTTATAAAAACCTGTAGTTTGTTCATAAGGAAGGGAATGGAGGAAGTGTTCTGGTATTGGTAAAATGATCGCTCCAGCATGAACTCTGGGTTGACATCCTCCACCCTCAACAAGTTCAGCACCTGAGGTTTTCCAAATTAATTTATTAACATTAACAAGTTGCTAAGGAACCCAACATAACACAGAAGAAAACCTCGCACGTCTGTGGAAAGTCTCGGGAAAATAGACAAAGAGCAAAACAAACCCTGTATTATTCAAAGGAATTGCTTAATGAACCTAGTATAAGTCCGCAGCAAGCTGATAAGTATTCTATAACCGATAGTAAGAATATTAATTATTCACAAACCATATGGTATGTTAGTCGGAAAGCACTGTTCAGGGGATTAGCTTCTCCCTGAATGAGATCTTTGGGAACTTGAGGTTCCATCTTGGTAGTCACGCATAAAATAACAATACCTCGGTCGTCAATTCCTGACAAGAGTTAAATTTATAAATTTGATTATAATTGAACGGCTTATAAAGAGCAAAAAGGTGCTCAACAGTGGATTAACAAAGGACTTTCCAAGAAAGCTAAAAGATTCCTATATGGAGAGTAATTACCTCTACGACCAGCCCTGCCACTCATCTGGATATACTCTCCACTAGTAATGTATCTCGTATCTTTTCCATCAAACTTTTTTGCGGACGAAAACACGACTGTCCTGGCCGGCATGTTTAGTCCCATAGCAAAGGTTTCGGTGGCGAAGAGAGCTTTGATCAGGCCTTCTTGAAACAAGATTTCTATAACTTCTTTAAGGATAGGAAGTAGACCACCATGATGTATTCCGATACCCCGCTCCAACATTGGTAAAACTTTGCTAACCTGAAGGAATAGATAATTATATTGTTAGATTAACATGAAACCAGTCAAATAGAAAGTCAGTGTAGCCAACATGGCAATCCGTTTATCCAGGGACTAGGACTCGAAGCTTATAAACTTATTTACCATGGAGCACATTTACCATTATCGAACATAAAAACGCACGCAGCTGCACGCAGAAGCAAGGCCAGGCCGGGCCGCGCGCGCAACCCTTACACTTTTTATGAAAAAGTTACCACATTATCTTTCTTCGCGCGGTCCATTTGTTCCAAAATTGCCACAGTCTCAAATGTGCTCTTGAAAAGTAAAACTGAAAACTGATACATATTACATGGGCGGCAGTTTACCTGCGGCAGTTGCTTATCGTCGTCACTTAGGACGTCAGTCGCATTTTCGAAAACTTCTCGTACTAGAGACTTCTCTCGGAAGTGTTAAAGTCGAGTTTAGACATCTGAAGAGCATGGCTTTCACAATCCTTCTTACTGAAGGAGAACACGATGACAGGTTGTAGTGACCTCTCCATTATCATCTTCACAATACTGAATATATCCGCCATACCTGAGAAGAGGTTTTAGCATTTCTACCAATATCGTAAGTTACGTTAGATTCGGATACAATAAGCAATTCGGTTAAAATTGGCTGTTCAAGGAATGACAATAAAGTGAGCAAGAGGAATGTATCATTAGATTACAGACCTTGTTTAAATCCTCCTTTCTTTTTCTTTCCTCCTCCTCCTCCCCCCATTGAGCCTCCATCTTGTAGAAATGCCATAGCTTTCTCAAAATTATCTTCCCTGAACCTCCTCTGAAATCAGACTTATGTTAAAAATGATTCCAGGTGTCTCAGCTACATGGGTTTGGGGTAGATACGATATTAGTAGCAGTACTCAGCAAGGGAAATCAAATGTGTGTAGAACGTTTCAGTTAAATTTATTCTGTAACAATATTAACGGATAAAAATATCTTTAAATTTCGAAATTAAAGCTAATTGCAAACACCTTTTCATCGACAACGAGGAAGATTCCATTACCCCCGTCAGGGAATATGTAGTGCTGAAGAGGAGTAGGTCTGTACTCTGTGTACACCACGTGACACGGTGAACTGTGTAGCTGGCATACCTGAAATACAAGGTATAAGCCAGAGTAATGGTTAGCAATGTAGTGAAATACAAGGTATAAGCCAGAGTAATGGTTAGCATTGCTGGTGAGGGTTGTGGGATTAGGGTTCTGGTAGTTTCGACTTGTTCCGGGTTTAATGGTGAGAAATGGTGAACTAAAACAGTTCTGCTGAATAATAAATACGCAGCTGAAGCCTGCTTGTTCTAATATCAAATTACTTAGCTTGGTTAATTCTGCCAATGTTGAGTTTCGGCTATTTTGATAGGCTGATATTTTATCCTTGTTTGGTGTGTAATGTGATACTTTGCACGGAGCATGCTCAGGAGTTTAGAGTATTGAGTTCACCAAGTTTACACCTTCATTCAACATCATTACTGTTTTACTTTTGTATTCAGATGAACGTTATTTGAACAAGGGGGTATTTTAATATACTTATTTAGATAATGATAAGCAGCAACTTTCCTAATCACGTACAAACTGCATCACGTTCAGCACAAGGAATGTAAGCATGTCAGCGGCCGAATGGTACATCATAAAGCACACATAATTCCATCACATTTTGTTAGATAAGTCAAAAAGAAGAAGAACAATAAATAAACAAACAACAAGATAAGATATAACAATAAACAAATAATAATATAAGCACATACCCACTCAGCATATTGTTTAGCGTTAGGTATAGTCGCTGACAGGAAGACAAAGTGCACAGTATCAGGCAGGAGTATGATACTCTCCTCCCATACCACACCTCTCTCCTTATCTCTCATGTAGTGTATCTCGTCAAATATAACCCAGCCAACCTCCCTCAATACCTCACTACCCCGGTACAACATGGACCTCAGTATCTCTGTAGTCATGATGAGACAGGAGGCTGTGGGCGCTATTGTAACATCACCCGTCATTAAGCCTACATCTCCAAACTGCTCCGTCATTTCACGAAACTTCTGGTTACTTAACGCCTGCGGGATACGTTTATATAATTATAACTGGTTAGAGTAGTTGTAGTAGTAGTAACATACTACTAGTACTATACTAGTAACATAAGTAACATTAGTAGTAGCAATAGTAACATAAGTAACATTATCTGTAGATAATATGTTACCGTCGATGCTTTCATTTCGATCGAGGATCGCCCAAAGTAAGTAAATCATTGATGAATATTGTAAACTGAAAAAGTAAACTGATTAAACTGATATATGTATTACTAGGAACCGTACACACTAACCTTAATAGGGGTAGTGTAAATAACACGCTGTTTGTTTAATAGAGATTGAGCTATAGCGTACTCAGCTACTACTGTCTTTCCTGCTGATGTGTGAGCAGACACTAATACTGACCTGGGTATATAATTATTAGATATAGTTACGAGGGAGAACTTTATTAGACATAGTTACGAGGGAGAACTTTATTAGATATAGTTACGAGGGAGAACTTTATTAGATATAGTTACGAGGGAGTACTTTATTAAATATAGTTACGAGGGAGAACTTTATTAGATATAGTTACGAGGGAGAACTTTATTAGACATAGTTACGAGGGAGAACTTTATTAGATATAGTTACGAGGGAGAACTTTATTAGATATAGTTACGAGGGAGAACTTTATTAGATATAGTTACGAGGGAGAACTTTATTAGATATACGGACGTGACACCCCTCCCCCCCCCCCTAGATATAGTTAGATATAGTTACCCCCCCCCCCCCCCCTATACAGGACAATACAGACAGGGAACAGTGTTACTATCAGACAATATAAATAGCAGATAGTTGGTTAATAATATGGTGTATTGTTTAGCGCAACTAAACTAACCTATCATTCTGAATACATTTTAGAGCTTCCTGCTGGAAAGGATCTAAAATAAAAGGATATTCTTTAGCAGGTTTGGTAGTGAGAGGTTTGAGATCAGTCCACTCGTAGTCCACAGGTATAACAGCCTCGTGAAGGCAACTCTCCGACTCCATTACTGGTCTAGTTGTAACTAGTGACACATCAAATACTGTCTTCTTTTCCAACTCGTCGTCTACTTTCATCTTCTTAGCTTGTTCTGACATACTGTCCTCAGAGGTGATGAGAGCTGAGGAGGAGGGTTGAGGAAGGGTGCTGGTAGAGGGACCTTCTTCTAATTCTCCTTCTTCCTCCTGGTAAAGTTATTTGATTAATGGATAATCTGGTGCTGGGACAAAACCATGAAAATATATAATAAAACTGTCGTGTGTGATACAATTAGTCTATCAGTTGTCTGAGCAGTAGTAATAGTGTTACAAAATGTTTGACATGAATTCTTATGAACAAGGTACAGTTGATAATATCAGGGGCCGGGGAGGGGTATACCACGTGGTGTGACGTCACACCACGTGCCGTGACGTCACATCACGTGGTGTGACGTCACGGCACGTGGTGTGACGTCACGGCACGTGGTGTGACGTTACGGCACGTGGTGTGACGTCACGGCACGTGTTGTGACGTCACGGCACGTGTTGTGACGTCACACTTATGAACGAGGTACAGTTGATAATATCAGGGCCGGGGAGGGGTATACCTCTACTTCATCAATAGAACGTTTCAGACCGGCTGCATCGTTCTTATTATTGGTGTCCTCATTCTCGTTAGTCTGTTCTGAGGACTGGGTGATACCTGTAAATAGATAGTAAATAGTAAATACAATGTAGTACTATGTACTATACTGTAAGATAAGAAGGTTAATTCCTGCTGTAAAGTTCTATTGATCAGTGTAAATTGAAGACAGAAGAGTGATACATTTGATTTAAAATTAACTAGTGATTTAAAAAGTTAACAAACCTAAAACTTCTGGTGTTAATAATTTTTTCTCTGCAGGACTTTGTGACTCAGTAGTGGGTCTCTTTTTGTCGCTGGGCTTATCATCTAGTACATTGAACAAATCCTCTGATCCAAACCCATCCATATTATTCTAGACAATTAGCGAATTAACGAATAATCAACTCAATTCTGACGTCATTTATAGACAACTTATAATTGCAGAAAATAATTTTATTCGCTACAGCTGCAGCACTGAAACATTTGGATCTATAAAGATAAATACATAAATAAATAAATTCTAACATTTATTACACGCTTCGGCATTAAAATATACCCAACAAAGATGTACATTAAAGTCATTCAAGCGAGACTTAGTGTTGAAATAGCAAGATTATGGACTTTTTAAACAGTTCAGAATTTATGAACAAATATTTGTATGAAGTTACTAAAATTATGCACTTTCATATCAGTTCAGACATTATGGACAAATATTAGAAATATTATCAAAAGCTAGTTGGAAATAAAACGTCTTTAGGGCATTTTTAAAACATTCTACAGATGATAATGATCTCACTGAGTAGGGTAGTTCATTCCAAATTTTTGGTCCACAAAACATAAATGCAGCATCTGTTCGTCTGAAATGAGGAGCAGGAGGAACTTTCAACAAATAAAAGTCATCATCTAGTCTGGAACTTTGTCTTCGTACTTCCCTTAGATTGACGTGTCCTTGTAAGTACTGAGGGGCTATGTTATTAAGACACTTGAAGACCAGAAGTGATATTTTGAACTTAATTCTGAACCGAACAGGCAGAAAGTGGAGCTTTTTGAGGTAAGGCATGATAGGTTCACGTATCTTTTTTCCGTAAAGACCAAAGATAAATCTAGCAGCATTATGTTTTATATATAATAATAATGTTTTTTTCTATCATAAGACGTTTACATACAAACGATACATTTTACTAAACAGATTTCGAGTGCACTGCCATAAGACTCCGTCACAGTCAATTCAAAACATCTCAAAACGTTCCAACAATTTTCGTCCACTTGACATGCTGGTGGTTAAAAAATCAGAAACGTTTTATATTTTATTATTTGCAAAAGTTCACTCCTAAAATATTTACTCTGTAAAAATCGGATAAAAAGAAGAACTAACTGTTACAATAATAAATTCAAAAACTTACGACCAAATCTACTAAAAACTTGAAACAATTTACATATCTCAAACATAAAGGTGCTAAAAATCTAGCTAAACATGAAATTTATTCTCTAAATCGTCATTTATGTCGCCCAATCCCCCCAACACAAAGTCAGGTTGTTTTCCCCCAAAACTTGCAATATCCTCGGGCTTTGTATTACCAGTCAGTACCAGTGCTGTACTGATTCCACAATTGAACCCAAATTTAATATCTGTGTTATAGTTATCTCCTATCATAATCGTCTTAGAAAGATTCATCTCTCCGTGTTCTTTCTGAATCAGTTCAAAAAATAATGGGTCAGGTTTCCCCATTATTCTGGGCTTCTCTTCAAGAACAGCGGACAAGCCAGCTTGCATGGAAAGTGATCCAGGAACTTTTCTTGTAGAGGACACAGCAAAGAAATTGTCACAATCAGGAGCAATGAACTCGGCCTTGTTTTCTTTTATGTACAAATATGCTTCAGTTAGCTTGGTGTGACAATAGTAAGGATCGTAAGTAACAATAACATACTTTACAGATTTGTCAACTTCAAAATCCCCCCATTCATGCACTTGTTTGATTCCTACAGGTCCCAAGCCGAAAGAAGGTATACCATGTTCTTCCAGAGTCGTCTTGAATGCATCTTGTGCAATTAGAAAAACTTTCTCTGTGTTTATATTCATTTTGTTTTTGAGGTAAATAGCAGTCGAAACTGCTGGCATGAAAATGTTTTCTGAGGGGATGTTATCAATATTCAAGATTGTCTTGAACTTATGTTGAAACATATCTACCGTTTTAGTACAGTTGTTAGAAACAAAGATGACCTGTTTATTATGAGCTTGTAGCACTTGTACCGCTCTGGATGCACCTGGAAATACATTTCAAGTTATATTAAAAGTTATATTAAACCATGTTCGGGAGAAGGGGTGAAATTTAGTTACTTAATAAATGCTTTATATGCACATTGCACAAGACCAATATGAAGAAGTTTTTGGAGAAGGGTTTCACATAACCTAATTAGTCATAGCCCCCCCCCCCCCCTCCCCCGTCATAGTGTAGTACAAATACATTTAACCCTCAATCACAGATATCCCGATAATTCGGCTGAGTTTGCATAGACTTTTACACCGTTATGGATTAACGACCCCCCCCCCCCCCCCCCCCCCCCCTGCACAATACTACAAGTCTGAACCACCAAAATATCGAAGCCCCTAGTCATGACTCATGAATTACTACGATAAAATATCACTAACCTTCTATAGCTTTATCCCCCCGCCATAAGACTCCGTCACAGTCAATTAAAAAAGTCTCAAAAAGATCCAACAATTTCCGTCGACTAGACATGCTGGTAGAACAAAATGTATTAAATATTATGATTTGTAAACAGTCATATGTCATTTAACATAGTACATATAATAAGAAAAGAGATAATACCTATTAACTTATTAACAAGTTTGACGAACACAATGTTTGGGGTTGCACCCCCCCTCCCCCCCCCCCCCCCCCCCCCCCCCCCCGGCCACCTCCAATAATGGGGGTAGTCCCATGTTGACTACTTTTTGAGACAATTGGAAGACTTAAAATATAGTAAAACACATTGTTTCTGTCTCACAAATTTGCAGAATTTATACATTGATAAACTGAACTGTATTAATCAAAACAAAATTATAATCTCCTATGTTGGTACTGCTTAATCTCTCATTCATCAAAACGGCTGAAAACCACCAAAAAATCAAGAGCTATGCAAAAACAAAACCTCTGTCAGATAAAAAATTCCTTGACTGCGAATTCCATTACAAATTAATATTGCCTTTTTGACAAAACAGTTTTCAGAATCTAACGTACTAGCCACATACCAAAATTTGAAATTTATTAATTGCACACAAACAAACATTCTCTGATTCAACAGGAATGCTATCAAGCTCACATAGCAATGAGAAATTGGTTAATATTTAACAAAATTAGTTTGCGCGGCTTTATCAATTTCAAATTAACACCTTCGAAAATCAAAAATATCACATTCAAAAGTACGAAGACTCTGTCTCACACAGTAATTGAAGCATACTTACAACAAGTAAAAACAGCGAAACGAGGACTCTGCAACACGAAGCTGTAATTAACCTTGTTAGTGAACATAAACAAATCAATATCCAACAAATAGCCCCGCTTGCTGCACTAATACTCTATTAGTACCATCATAAAAACACCCCAATTCTCGCTTTAATTTTCATACAAAACACTATACAATGAACGATCTGATGTTAATAATACACAGGTTCTAACGAATTTGGTGGCAAAATCTGTCGTTCTCACCTTCCATATTCTCAATCAAAATCTGCGAAATCTTTCAAATTAGCATCCACAACAACAACAAACACACCAATATTATAGGATCACAGCTATATCAAAACAATAATCAAACGAATGACATTGTTCTTGTGCTAGCTACTCGAGATACTCAAAATCACTTCCTTCCAGGCTGGCTATCTCAGCTAGTGCGTACTCTGCTCCTTCATCAAACATGCTCTCGTTGTGGTCAAATGCCTGCAATAAAATGATATTTATCGTACCTGTTCCAGTAATAATAAGAGCAATAAATCATTTGCGAATACTAATAAATATAAAGCACTATTACCTTTACAGAAGGGTCGTGTACTAGTGACGTCATGTAACGTGGTGTGACGTTATGTCACGTGGTGTGACGTCATGTCACGTGGTGTGACGTTATGTCACGTGGTGTGACGTCACACTTACCTTTACAGAAGGATCGTGTACTAGTAGCAGGTAATCTTCCTTGGTACCATCTAATAGATCAAATATCTTGTTAGACCCCATAGACTCAGACAGTCGTGTCAGCTCCAACAAATCATCTGCAGACTTCAAGTAAAACCCAAACGTACAAGAAGGGTCCATCTTTGAAAATGACATCTTTCGTGGCTTCATACAAACGTACGTCTGAAGGAAATAAGCCTGGGATTAGATGGTGTCTGTTTTCCTGATTTTATCTTCCTAAATTCAATGAACCTCTTATTTGAATGACATATTTACATTGCATTACTCTACATTATATTTACTCCAGTAGTAGTGAGTACAAACCTCGGCACTGAAATCTCTATTTATTTTGAGAGCATTCTGACAAGTGTGAGGATCGTAGTGTATTAGCTTGTTGCCTTGGAAACCAGTGAAGTAGAGAGAATGTCTCTTCCTCCCTCCCATAATACCAACACACATCGGACTCATCAGAAACTCCTGGATATTAGGTAGGTGTTATAGATGTTACAGTATAGACTATAGATGTTAATGGGGCATAGTGCAAATTTGAAGTTTTCCTCTAGATTGCGAGGAAGAGTACACACACTACGTATACACTACACACACTACATACATTACATACACTACACACAGAACACACAGAACACACAGTACACACAGTACACACAGTACACACAGTATACACAGTACACACTACACAAAGTACACAAAGTACACACAGTACACAAAGTACACACAGTACACAAAGTACACACAGTACACACAGTACACACAGTACACACAGTACACACAGTACACACAGTACACACAGTACACACAGTACACACAGTACACACAGTACACACAGTACACACAGTACACACAGTACACACAGTACACACAGTACACACCTGTATTGACTGTCTGTATGACAGGTTAAGTTCGTCTGCTCCCATTCTCACTGAAATCAGCACTAGAGTCTTAGTCCAGGTGCGGGTTCCATTCAGGGTGGCAGTTTTAACAATATCTCCCTTGAAAACTGCAAATATTAGTTTTAACTATATCTCCCTTGAAAACTGCAAATTTATTGTATTAACACAATTCATTGTGATCGATATTCAATACTTTCTATTATACTGTAATCTATCAATTATCTAATTATTGTTCAAAGTAAAAGGAATTGAAAGTAATTAGTCAATACCAAGAAATCTTACCCATGCAATCTGTTGCAGTAAACACATTGAAATCTGTAATGTTAACTATTGAACCAGGCATTCCCTTCTCTTTAGCGTAGTCCACACAAACCCTGCAAGTTTCAGATAATAGTAGGAAAGTTATTGAATTCGCATGTCAGCGATCCTGTACAGTATTACAGAAGTTACAACAAATGCACACTGTCTCACCTCAGAACGTAAGCTACAAGTGCACACTGTCTCACCTCAGAACGTAAGCTACAAATGCACACTGTCTCACCTCAGAACGTAAGCTACAAGTGCACACTGTCTCACCTCAGAACGTAAGCTACAAATGCACACTGGCTCACCTCAGAACGTAAGCTACAAGTGCACACTGTCTCACCTCAGAACGTAAGCTACAAATGCGCACTGCCCCCCCCCCCCCCCCCACACTAGCTCACGTAAGCTACAAATGCACACTGCCCCCCCCCCCCCCCCCACACTAGCTCACCTCAGAACGTAAGCTACAGTTGACGGTCCATACCACTCTCCGTAAGACTTATTGAGATGTTCTTTACCTATCTTCAGAAGATGTTGTAACGAAAAAGGATGATCAAAAGAATCCCCAAAATGTCTTACTAACTCTTTAAACCGATACTGACTTCCAGAAGTGTTTCTGCGATATTCTGAAATAATAAAATGAATCAAAACAGCAGGTTTATCAGTATCAACTCACAAACAAAATGCAAATGGAATAACTAATTAATACAATATATAAATAATGTGCAACACGAATAGTAGAAGCAGGATAAAGTCACCTCTCCCAAAACAGTGTATCTGAAGAGCAGTAGCTAACATCATCTGCCCTGTCCGGAGCATGCAGCCCCACCCTGTATCCGACTTGAGATTAGTTCCCTGAAGACAAGCGAACCCTCTACGGTACGTCACCCAGACACGAGACTGGAAATCTTTCAGAAACTCGTGGAATGATCCGTGCGCGTCCTCAACACTATCACTCTCAAGCTTACGATCATCTTCGTGGTGTTTTCCTATGTACAACTTCCCCAGGAAGCAGATAGAGCTGGCAGTTTCGAAGTTGTTACCCGGCAAGCTGGCAATATCTAGGAGGTTAAGGCGTGGAGTTAATAATTATTCTATATAATAGGATCTATGTTGCTATTTTAATTGAACTACGTTCGCGTTGGCAGCCAATTCGAATACTTACATTGTACTAAATTATTTATGGTCCCCTTCAAATGAGAATACTTACATTGCACTGCATTATTTATGGTTCCCTTCAAATGAGTCATCACTTCATCAATCTGGTCACTAGTCTGTCCTTGGCTCTTGACCCCTTTCTTCAGAAGAGTACATGGTCAATCCAATACAACTAACTTTTTGGTAATCTCTACTAAAAATAACAAAGAGTAAAATGACTATTATTTAGGAACCTGATACACGTTTTTCTTACCAGTTTAGGATGATATGAGGGTATATCGTATTTGTAAGGTGGATCCTCATAGCTGCTGGAGGACGAGGCTACACTTTCACTCTCTACAAAATTATCCAGCATTTTCGTTGGTTGGTGTGGCTTGGGACTGGGTTGTAATTGGCCAACTGGCTTCACTATTTCACAGTAAGCAACACTGCTGGCATTTCTTTTCAGATGTGTTTGTTCGTCGTTGAAAGGGTTTGCTCTAGGTTTAAATTTTTTTCCAACAGTAGGCACAGAGGTAGGAATGGATGGTTTGGTAACAGAGGTAGTGTCTTCAGACGACAAATGACTGGAAAATAATTTCAAATGATTATAAATGTTTAGACTTAGATTCAGGAATTAAATGAAGAATATATCATGCTGCATTTTCTAATCTTACAAGTAAGTTATCCGATTTTTTTTGGAAGAACTGTCCGAATCAAAGTGTTTTATACGTAACAAGCATAAAAATATTATGTATTGAACAAAAGGAGCTCTGACCTCTCACTGGAAGTGGTATCAAGAGAAAGCTGAGGGTATAAAGCTGGAATGCTTCTTAACGAGTGCTCCATTCTGCCCCCGGGAGACTCATCAATAGCAGATAAATTCAGTGAACCTTTTGGAGGCACCTGAAACACCCAAATTAAATTATCATTAATATAATCAATAACTTAAATTATCATCAATGATAAAGAGTGATTGACATCAAATTATTGTTCATAGCTTTAAATCAAAATTAATACTATTGTACTGTACTATTGCTGATCTAACCTCGTTTAGCTTGCCCAAATAATTAAGGTCATCTTTATTACTAAATTCGGCCATTACGTAAGGTTCCTTGCTTCCAGTTATTTGAAACTCTGTATCAAGCCCCAAGTGTTTAGGGTAATCGCTAGGAATGTAGTAACCAGAAGTATCCCCAAGTGGTGACCTGAAGAAAAGGTAAGTATAAGCTAAAACCCCAATTGAACAAAATGCTAATACGATTAGATTAAAATACAAACAGCTGTTTGCATGCCTTTTATTGAACTGCATATTTTCATCACAGTGCAATATTTCAATTGGATAGCATTTAAAAATCATCAATAAGTGAATAATAATAGGTCCAATTAACATCATGGTCATAACTTGATATTTACTAGCCTGCCCAATGGATGCAATCCTGCACTTAATGCAATCTTTTGATTTGATTTCAACTTTCCCTCATTCCCAATGTTAGTAAAAAAATCTAATCCTTCATTAAAATTCTAAAATTACACTTGACAATAATAGCAGCATAATATATTCTATTTCTACAATCCTGCTTCAAATAGAGTCTTCAACTCCATTGTGAGCTAAATTTAGTACCAGAGAAACTCCTTGTTTTCAAGCAGTTGCTGGCCAATTGAAATTGATATAATATACTCACGCTGTTCCAGGCTTTGGGCTAGAGCAGTCTTTCAACTCTACATTACAGAAGCTGTAATCAGTCAGAAAGGAGTCAATTTGAACCTGAGGGTCAGACAGAGGGTCCTTTCCAACTTCAACTTCTGTAGCAGTGTTAACTTGATTTAGAGTTCCTTGCGAAGTTGTAGGTTTGGAATGAATAGAGGATGATAGCATTGAGTTATCTAATACATATGTTGTTCTCAATGCCACAGGGATATGACCTCTATATTGGAAAGCCACAGCTCCATAAGATGACATGGACTTTATTTCTCATTCCTAAATATTTTATTGTTTAAATAAGAGGTGGTAAAATGGTTAAAATGTAAAATTTATATGTATGTATGCTTTATCACAAGTAAACTACTAACCTACAGTACAATGTTATATAATGTTATAACTATAATTTATTCATTTTAAAAATTATTGCAATGACTTCAACAAAATGGTCTGCGCAGAACTAATATGCTATTTTTAAAACATTTCAATTTAAAATACTGAGTGGGCTTACTTAAAAATAAGCTAAAGTAGGCTTATCACCAAGGTTTATATTCAGTTGTAGGATAACCCATAAAAAGCAACTCAAGTGAATAGCAGTTTACATCTATCATTTCATGTTGTAGGTTGAGGCAGTTGGGACCATGGGTCATCATGGTGAAATCAAGATAAAAAGTTTCCCTGACAGATAACGGAAGAAGTTATAGAAAAACCAAGTCATTCGACCAAAGCTTGACTAAAGCTCTAAGACACAGTTAGTGTGTTTCAGACAAGGGGGTGCTTTTACCTCGAATTTGTCTGACTTGGTAGCAAAATGTTTAAATATGAAAGAAAAATATTCAAACAATATATACATAATATAGCAATGACCCTATATAAAAATTCTGTAAAAATGGTACAAATTTTAAAACTGAGGTAAAAATAAAACCCTTTGTAATAATATATATAAAATAAATAATAATAATAAAATTTGGTAGCTTAAACACAAACTCTAAGCCCAGTGGATAAACCACAAAACTTATGCTCTATTGTGTGAAACAAAGATACTAGATCAAGATAATTATCAAGGAGTGTATGCATAGGACATAAAAAGTTTTGGAACGAAGATGACATGCTTGTGAAGCGAGCTAACAGTCTAATTGCTAATAAGTTCAAAAAGATCATGACATTAGGTTGCATCCTAAACAGTTTAAGCAAATAACATAAAGTTATTATATTGTCAATTAATCGCTCATGCCATAACTTTTCTTAAACAGGTGAGTTTTTAATAATGTTTTGAACAGATCAACATCGGAACAAGTCTTAATTTCAATTGGTAGTTGGTTCCAGATTTTCGGAGCAACAGTCTGAAACGCTCTTGGGTGTGATCTGGAAAATCAACTAAATCACATCACAACAAAAAGCAGTTTAGACCCCCATCCAACAAGCACTCCATGACCTTTTAGGGTTTAAGAGTGATGATCAGTTTAAGGTCCAAATCACTTATTGCCATGGGTGGAAGGGTTCTGGTACCTCTGTACCCCCTGATAGAGATTATACAGGTTCTGAGTAGATCAAAACGCAGTCTGCGTCTGACAAATGACATCACATCACAATACTGTTGGCCTTTCTTTAGGCTGATCTTTTCTGCGAGATGTTTTAGGAACTGTGAAGCCTCAGTTGCCATTCCCCCTGTAGTACTGAACACCAATGGCGTGAAGGTAGCCTTTTCAACATTGAGGACTCTGTCATTGTACTCACGTTATTTGTTTTTCTCGTGAGATTTGTACATCTGTGAGATGCTCTTGTCACTGTTGGACTGGGCTTGAGGGTGAAGTACCCTTACATCTGTGAATGCCCTGTCCAGCGGCGACCAAAACGATGTACCATTTACCGCGATACTTAAAGCTCCAGGGCCGGGAGGAGTTCAAGAAAACAACAATTTCGAGAAAACGACAATTTTATTTAGTATCAATTAAAGCAGACAATATAGGGTCATTGCTATATTATGTGTATATTGTTTGAATAATTTTATAATACAAGGCCATTGCAGGTTCCTTTTTCAATCTGTACACAGCGGTCTCCATTAAAGCAGACAAAAATATATTTTATACATATAACTAGCACACACTTTTGACCAGATATCTTAGGGGACTTAGAGTAGCAAAAGAGTGACTAGAAGGTATATATACATTTAGCAAAAATACGTTGAAAAGAATTCAAGGATTTACACGGGATAACACAAGATTACACAGGGTTAAAATTAAATTATAGATCCATTATCATGGAAAAAAAATTAATGAAAACATTTATCTTTCCTTAAAGTCAGGGCCAGGGTTATCCTTAAATCTTAATTATGACTAATTCGCGAGGTTCTCACCAAATTGATAATAAAATTGTTTCGTTCATTTAAATTACGTTGACGCATATCTTCGGTGAAGCTATTTCGCTCTTTGGTATTAATTAGTAACAATCAAAACATATCATAAATCAAGAGGCTTGCATACAATGAACATATTGACACGGGTGCAGAGTTGAGTCTGTACGGAACCTAGTAGTTTCAGATCCTTGTTTAACTTGCCGTACAGCAAGGTCATCCACTACTTTAGCCCGGCGAGGCACATAACTCCCTCTACAACTCCATGACAAATGTTTCATATATACTAGCCGAGTTCACAAGTTATATCCTTGTGTTTGAGAAGAGCTATCATATCATAAAAATAAAACAGCGCGTCGGTTGGCTGCCTCAGTAAGGCGATCACATGGTCACGAGGACCTTTGAGCGCTTAATTTAATTTTAAGTTTTTAAGAATCAATCATCATACTATCACGAGTTATTTATAATTTGAATTTAGTTGACGGATGTTACTCGTCTAAATTTCTTCGAAGTAGCGCGCCGTTTTCTCCTCGATTGCAAGTGCTACGAAGTAGCGCGCGCCGGGCCAGACCATTAACAATGGTTTCACATAGCCATGTGTATATGCGTACTACGTGACGCGCTTGTTTCACGGCGGTCGCGCGCTACTGCAAGCGAGAGGGCTCTGGTTAGAGCAACATGTGCAATGTAAGTTGCTCTAACCAGACCCGTCTCGCTTGTATTGCAGTAGCGCGCGACCGCCGAAGGTGAAACAAGCGCTTCACGCAGTACGCGTAGACGTACACATGGCTATGTGAACAATGTGCGAGAGGCTGAATCGTTTTTCATGATGAATTTGTAATATTTACACTTTGAGGCAACTTTTGTTACCAAATTTATTGAAATTGTAAATAAAAATTATGTGCAAACGCATGGTATCATACTCTGTTAGAAAAATATCTTGCTTATGGTATAACTGTCTGGGGAGGAGCATTTTGTTCTAATTCTATTCTAACAAAAAACTTGAACTAAAAGCATTAAAAATGTGTGCCCGCATAATGTTTGTTGATAAAGAAGCATTTAATTGACGATGTCAATTCATGGCAGCTCGGCGCGGCACAGTAGCGCATCTCGCCGATCTAGCCAGAGAAGCCTTATTGAGTGCGCGGCGCGGCACAGTAACGCATCGCGCTACAAAAGAAGCATATTTGGATGAATTTAAAACTAAAGCCCGATGCAGATCCTAGGGGAGCAAATCTTAGGCAATGAATTCTACAGAAAGTATACTAAACCTCTTTTTAACAGTTAACACTCCTGAAATCATGAATGTGCACAATCTGTACTTTAACCTTTGTATTAAGTTTGAAGACCACTCTCCTTAAATTATTTTAACCACAGATAATCATTATGTTTACTTTATTTTCCATATAGATATCTCCTTCAATTCTACTTATCACCTCATCAGACGCTTTCCAATGATGATGCAGATCACAATAAATTCCTTTTTTAATATTTAATTATTAATTATCAAACATGTCAATCTTACAAATGTCAACAATCCTAAAATAATTTAGAACCTAAACGTGATCCTTTGTAAGATTATATGTCCCAAAAGTCAAATTGACTTGTACTCAAGTATAAAGTCGAACAATTTACTCCAATAACCACGGTTACTAGCAAGTTCTCTCAAATGAAGAATATCATCATACGACTCCAGCAAGATGAAACGCTTCCAGAGGTCAACCTTCAGGTGGTGTAGGAGGTTACGTCTGTGAGCCCCGAGTCTACCAACTTCACTACACATCTCGACAGCAAAGCACAGCGCAGCTTGAGCTGGTGATCTTTCATCGCTCCTCAGTATCTGTCCTAGCATCTTCCACCTAGATAACTCAGCACGCTCAGACATAGGGGTAGAGTTACTCTGTTTGTATAGGGTATCTTTGGACATCATACTGCGTGGCCAGCTGACATTCATGATCTTTCTGAGGTGGTTACGGTGACATGCATCTAGTTTGTCCCAGTACGATTTAGGCATTCCCCAGCAACTAGAGTTATACATGAGGATAGATACTACTTGGGCCTCATAGACTTTCAGCTTCTTCTGTAGGGGGATCTTACTCTGGCACCAGACCTTCTTGAAGTTCTGGAATGCTACATTGGCTAACATGATTCTTCTGGTGACATCCTTCCTACTTTCTAGCAGAGAACCCAACAACTTGCTACTGCACCATTCTTCATTCATTCTAAGGGGTTTACCATCATCCATGACCTCATCTTTCCCAGCTATGTAGATGTGTACAAACTCTGTCTTTGATTCATTAATATTCAGATTCCACTCTTTGAACACCTTAGTAGCGACAGGGAGGAGGGCTTCTAGAGCATCTTTGTCTTCACCAAGATAGTCGATGTCATCAGAGTAGGCATCTTCTTCAGGCATGCCGCTAGGACTAATAGGAGGGGTTGGGCGCAGCGTCACGGCACGCAGGTGGTAGCAGGCACCAGCTAGAGTGATTGTGAAACAGAGGCCTGAAACACTATCACCTTGGGGTCCTCCATTGGTGCTGATGAATTCAAGGGAGGTAGCGTTGTTGACTCGCACCTTGATCTTGGTGTTGCTCAGGAGGAATCTCACTAGTCTGATCTCATCTCTTGTGCACCCTGCGTCCTCTAGGAGGTTGAGCACAGTCTGCCTACTGATGGTATCGAAGGCACTGGACATGTCTAGGCCCATCTTGTGGAAAGACCACTCTCTTTCTTTTACGATGCTGATCAACATACGGTGACACCATACCAGGTCTCCACAGCTTCTCTTCTGCTTGTAGGCAGCTTGCCACGGACCTGTGTAAGTGTCTACCTTTGCTTCAATTCTCCTGAGTGTAATGAGGGATAGCAGCTTACGAGCACAGTTACATAGTGTCAGGGGTCTGAGGCTTTTGAGTTCACCAGGAGTCTTGCCAGGCTTTTGAAGAGGGGTGATGAAACATTCTCCGACAGCGTCAAGGAACAGGTTCTCTTCAAAGCAGGTGTTGATGATTTTGGCGTAATGGACACATAGCGCACTCCCACCATACTTGAGGAGCTCATTGGGGGTATTGTCAGGTCCATTGGCTTTGCCGTTCTTGAGGCGTTTAGCAGCGGTTTTTACCTCATATTCTGTGATAGGGCAGTCGAGGGGAGAAGGGGGACCTTCAAACGGATCAAGGGCAGGTTCATCTCCAGTCAGCTGTTCTTCATACCAATCGCGGAGTACTTCAGCTTTAGCGAGGTCTGTACCAATGGGGTACCCATCCTTATTGTGGACAACTATAGGCTTTGTCTCTTTGGTCTTAGCTAAGGATCTCACAGCTTCGAACATTTGACGCGTGTCGTCAGTTGATGAAATTTCTTCAGCTAACTGGTCAGCCTTAGCACACTCTAGCTCCTTCAGTCTCTTTTTGATGTCTTTACCGAGCTTATTTCTCCGTCCTCGCAGTACAGAGCTATCACAGGGCTTGTTGGTGCTTGCCAGGGCGAGGCGTATAAAATTTTTAATAAAATTTAAAAAAGGGGGGACCCCCAACTCATGTAGCTGAGACACCTCACAGCAAGTAGACCAAAGTGCCTCTTGCTTGTGAAAGGTGCGTCAACTACCCGCCGAAGCGGTGGGTTGGGAGTCCCCCCTGGGATCATTTTGTCCGTAAAATTATATACAACTTGAAATAGTATAAAATAGTAAAATAGTAGTAAAATTCCTTTTTTAATACAGTCCTTTTTAAAATATTCAAGATTTATCTTTAAATCATTTACACTATAAGAATTCTTAACATCCACTGTTAGGGCATCCCAATAAGGTATAACTCTCTCAGATAGAAACGCTTTACGAAGATTTCTTAATTTAGAGCTTTTGATATTGCACTTTATCTTTGAAACAATATTTATACCTGATCTTCTCAATGAAACAAGAAATTTGTTCAATGAAGGTGGTTTAATGGCGCAGTTCGATATGCCGCTCAATCACGAGGTTGCGGGTTCGATCCCTGTCTGTGCCACTAGCCATGGGGTTAGCGGCGTTGCTGTTCTGCTAAGGGTTTCAATGGACCTATGCCAATGGTCTACTCAGTCAATGCTCGAGAAATCGTGTGTGAGGGTCAAATGAGGAGCTGTACATATGAGCCACGGGGAAGAAAGTGTGGTATAATACCTTAACCGTCGATCCTTCGGGTTCCTGTAAGTGCTGGTGCCAGCCATGGTTGTCCTAAGTTTAAAAAATTGTCGGTTTTCATAGATGCTTTGCAGCTAAACAACATAAAGTAAACGTAAAGTAAAGTAATCAAGAAATTTTACTAATATTGACAATATCCTAACCATATTCTAGTAAACCATTGCCTATTTCAAAGGTTTCTATAAGATCCCCACGGATTCTTCTTTTAGCTAATGTAGTTAAATTCAGAGTTTCCAACCTGCTGCTGTATCAGATCTTTCTCTGGGTGCAAAATGAATAGAAATTTATATTATTATATACAATCACCAAAGAATATTTCCTCAAGTTTCCTCCTAATTAATTAATTCGTGGTTGTAAAACTTATTATTTTATTGATGGTGTTAATTCCATTAACTACGTACCATGTAGGTCGGATCATTTTGGTGAGCTGACAAGTTGCTACATATTAGAATGGAAGAAAAGAAAATAAAATGAAATAAAATAGAATGCTATCATCTTCAGGAATGAAATCATGACAACCAATAACCATGTTTTTATCTTCAGGAAAACTACTGCGCTACATGAGTAATTTGATAATCCTCTATGACTATCATGAAGCACCCCCGTTTTTAACAGGGAATCCTCACATCAAATCTGGATATCGTGGATATTTACCAACTAAACTGTGCTTCAGATCATTGTTCACTTTACACAATGAGTCAATCAATGTCTGGTCTCATTTGCTGGTTGGCCTGTACTTCTTCTACCAATATTTTATGGATTTCTCATTGATAACGAATGAGGAACATGCAACAATTTATGATCAGTTGGCATTCATATCTATGGTCATAGCAATACAAATTGCAATGTTTGCGTCTGCTGCATATCATCTGTTCAATTGTCAATCGCAGGATGCACATTCAAAATTCCTGCTAATTGACTGCATTGGAATTGCTATTGGGCTCTCTGGATGCTTTTTTCCTGTTATGCACTATGCATTTTATTGCTTTCCTGAGCTAAAAATTTTCTATGGTGTAACATTGGGCGCTGTGTTTGGCGCTGCTGGCTACTTCGTCACTCGACCATGGTTTGGTGATAAAAATAGCACATACTTCAGAATAGTAACTTACTCATTGGTGTCACTTTCTGGAATTATTCCTTCGGCTCACTGGGTTATACTCTATGGTGTAAAGTCTGAAATCGTTGCTTTGTTTTTACCAAGAATAGCACTACTCTACTTCTTTGGAGGAACAGGAGCATTCTTTTACGTTACAAGGCTCCCTGAAGTATTACTGCCTGGAAAGTTTGATATCTTTGGTCATAGTCATCAAATATGGCATGTTTTTGCTGCTATAGTTTTCATAGTTGGGCATAAAACACAGCAAGATTTATTTCTATATGTTACAAGTCACATATGCCCTACTTAATGAACTCTAGGAGATGTGATTTCTAATAGTATTACTACTGTACTATTAGTTGATTACAAAAGAAACACAGTTTATTAAGTTAAATTTGATTATAACTACTGATTTGACTATAATTTCTTACACTTTAATCAGAGAAACAATATAGCTAGGATTGGAAATTATGACATTAACAGTGCAGTTGTCGTTTCTTAAGTCATGTTAAAGAGTTGAAAGGGATAGATATCGAGTGGTTAATCTATTATGATATTATGAATTATTTGTTGTACAGCATTGTTCGGTGAACAAATAGAGTATTAATAGTGTCTGCTTAGTAGGTTTGCTATCTTTGCATTGAAGGTATTTTATTCAGTGAATTTATTGCCAATTACCGTTTCTTAATCTATATTATGATGATATCTATAAATATAATATAATTAATAATTATATATTTTGTTTCAACTGTTGTTTTGGTACTTTAAGTGATGTATTATCCTGTAATTTATCTGAAAATAATAGAATTTCAACGCAAGAATTTATTTTATTCATTTTTCGACAGTATTTCATAAATGGAACACCCAGTACTGTCTATAAAAACACGAAGTTATGCTTGCACCAATATCACACCTTCAGTAAAAAGCAAACAAAAATGTGCATTGCAAGTTTTTATATATATATAATGGGTATTATCAGATTGATATAAGATTAATTCATTAACATCATCTTAAACATTTTTCAGTTGATGCTGCAATCACCATTGAAACGAGTGCTCTCTCCCCTATGCTCACAATATGTGCCTCACAAAAGCTTGAACTTTCAGCGCTCTCTCACTGGACTAGTTTTAACTGGGAAATACGAATCACCTGAGAGCAACATTCAACTATCTGAATGTGCAAAACAATTCGACACCAAAATATCGTCAAAGTTGTCAGAACTTACTGGCATTTCTAAAATAACCAAAACGAGAACTTTCTATGGGTTACACGAAGAATATCCAGTTGTCACTTTATCAATTGTTGATGATGTTCAAAACAGCGAAAAGTTATGTGAATATGATTTGACATCACGAAATAGTATTAGCGAAGCAATAAGATCAGCAGTTGGGGCTGGAGTTGCAGCATTGCAGTCAGATGATAGTATTGATAAAATTGAAGTAGACTCAGCAGGAAGTGGGAAAGCTGCTGGTGAGGCTGCTCAGTTAGCTCTCTATACATACGACATTTTGAAAGCAAAGCGTAAAGAAGCTCCTAAATTATTACAATGCAAACTGATGGATCTACCAGATGCTTGTGTTAATGATTGGGAAGATGGTATCATCAATGCTAAAAGTCAAAATTTAGCCAGACACTTAATGGAGTCTCCAGCAAATTACATGACACCAACATTATTTGTCGATGCTGTTAAAAGCAAAGTTAATGAGGAACATGCTGATACGGTGACTGTTATAGTCAGAGATAAAGATTGGATCACAGAGAAAAAAATGGGGTCATTTCTCTCGGTTGCAAAAGGATCTGAGGAACCTCCATTTTTACTGGAAATTCACTACAAAAACGCCGATACTCCTCCAATTTGTTTAGTTGGCAAAGGTGTCACATTTGATACCGGTGGTATCTCCATCAAACCCTCCAAGGGTATGGACGCAATGAGGGCTGATATGGGCGGGGCAGCTTGTGTAGCTGGAGCCACTTTGGGTGCTGCCTCTCTCAACCTACCAATTAACCTGATAACATTAATCCCTCTTTGTGAGAACATGCCATCTGGTTCAGCCACCAAGCCTGGAGATGTTGTTACTGCAATGAACGGGAAAACAATACAAGTAGATAACACAGATGCAGAGGGCAGGCTTATTCTTGCTGATACTTTAACTTATGCTGACACATTTGATCCTGCACATGTTGTAGACATGGCTACATTGACTGGGGCAATGGCAGTAGCTTTAGGTGGAGAATGTGTGGGAGCCTACAGTTCCTGTGATCAGCTGTGGGATAGTCTAGAGAGAGGTGGTTACAATAGCGGAGATAGGTTTTGGAGGATGCCTCTGTTCAAAGAGTATGGTGATTTACTGAAGTCTCCTACCGCTGATATCAATAACATAAGCGCCTCCCCTTACGGCGGATCCATTACTGCTGCTAAGTTCCTGCAGAACTTTATAAAGTGTAAGAGTTGGGCTCACTTAGACATTGCAGGTGTTATGGACAGTACTGACTCTATGAGCTACTTACCCAAGGGGATGTCGGGTAGACCTACTAGATCTATCATTGAAGCTTTACGATTGTTGTCATTGCAAAAATAATGGTCAGATTCATTTTTTGCTATAATAAGTTGGATTATTCTTTGGCTTGAAAGCTAGTTTATTGAATGAAAATTTATAGTACGATAATCCATGATTCTTATTTCTAACAACAGGAATTGTTTTATTGATAAAAACTAGAGTGTTCTCAAAGCATAAAATGTTTATTTGAAATTGTGAAATATTGGTACAATTATCATAAATCTACTGCATCGTGGCTATCTTTATCATATTATTGTCTAATTAATGTTTCACGATGCAATAATTTTTCAGTAAAGACAATCATCAACTAAATTTCAATTCTTAGGTAGAGGATGCACCGTTTAAGCAGTGTTGGTTTAATACGTGCAGGGGTAACGAAATGTGTACGCCCCTTGTCCTCAAGTGAGAGAGTTTTCAAGAAATATACACAAGATTCGAGCAGCATATTCGGGAGAAGAGGTTACCGGATTACACCCTCACTGTTTGATATAAAGACAATCGAGACTCCAACGTTTCCTGATTCTGTACAGGAAGGAGATATAGCTTGGTTGAAGGAAGTTGGGGATACTGTAGAGGAAGATGAAGTAATCGGGGAGATAGAGACTGATAAAACAACTCTCCCTGTTCAGTCACCTGCTGCAGGTGTTCTAACTGCATTGTTAGTTGAAGATGGTGACACCATTTCCAAAGGAACTCTTCTCGCCAATATAGATGTAGGGGCAGCAGGTGATGCCCCAGCAGCAGCAGCTGCCCCAGCACCAGCAGCTGCCGCCCCTGTTCCAGCCCCCACAGCTGTGCCTGAAGCAGCATTCCCGGCAGCTGACCAGCCTCTGGGTCCTGTTCCTACAACTCTTGGTACACCTCCCTCAATTCCAACTACTCCTCTCTCTGTCACTCCACAACCCCTTCCTAAGCCTGCAGCTCCTCCTGTTGTGGCCTCCGGAGAAATGAAACCTCCTGGATTGAGGTCAGAACACAACGTCAAGATGTCCAGAATGAGGTTGAGAATTTCTGAGAGACTAAAAGAGGCACAGAATACTGCAGCTATGTTAACTACTTTCAATGAAATCGACATGAGTAATATCATGGCTCTACGAGGTAAACATAAGGATGCCTTTGTTAAGAAGCACGGAGTGAAGCTAGGTTTCATGTCAGCCTTCCTGAAAGCTTCTGCATCTGGTTTGAAGGAGATGCCTGAGGTCAATGCTTTTATTGATGGAAAGGAAATAATCTACCGTGATTATGTAGACATCAGTGTAGCTGTTGCTACGCCAAAAGGCTTGGTTGTCCCAGTTTTAAGAAACGTGGAAACCATGTCATTTGCTGATATAGAGAAAGGGCTGACTGGTCTTGGTCAGAAAGCTCGGGATGGGCTTTTGGCTATTGAAGATATGGACGGAGGAACGTTCACTGTCTCCAACGGGGGAGTGTTTGGTTCTATGTTCGGTACTCCGATTATCAACCTCCCTCAATCTGCAATACTTGGCATGCACGCTATTCTGGAGCGACCTGTAGCTGTTAACGGCAAGGTCGAAATAAGGCCCATGATGTACGTGGCACTGACCTACGATCACAGGTTAATAGACGGGCGTGAAGCTGTTACTTTCCTGAAACGGGTAAAATCTGCTGTGGAAGATCCTGGAACTCTACTCCTAGACATCTGAACGGGAGGAGGATGTTTTGTACATAGTTTACATGAAATTACTTAATTAGAAATAAATTATAAATTGCACTGAAAACCTATTTGATATTTTGCATCCATAGTTGCCGCTTCCATCGGGATTAATATACAATATTTCTTGAAAATGAATTATAACACTGAGTCTAGTTATTGATTTAGGATTATTTGAAAACAAACCCTTAAATTATGTGAATGGGTTAGATATATCTTAAACATGATTTAATTTGCTATAAAATAAGGGATAAAATAAAAGTAGAATAACAATCAGGTAATTTTCTCGACCTCTAGGCTCCTCTATTTGCTACAAATACTTGGCGTTATACGACTGTACAGCTTATATTGTATAATTTTATAAAGATCAGTAAGTATCATGGTTTCAACGGATTGTACAATATTAATATCGCCTATGAAGAAGGTACAATGTGACTTACACAATACCAAATAGTTATTTGCAATACATGTCTTTCATTGGATGGGAAAATTATTTCGACTAAAGATCGAATTCGAAATAATAAGAAAATGATAAGGTTCACATATAACGTAAGGTGGTTTGGGTTAAGTTAATAACTACACAATATAATGTGTATCTAAGGGAGGGTTCTATAATGGCTTACTAATACTACTATACGTAATATTATGTGAACAATCCCTGTGTCTGATGCTTTATTAGTCTCTTAAAAGTGTACTTGTTGATTAAGCACTATATAGTGTATAATATATATTACTATATTAGTATTAAATCTAACACAATATCTCAGATCCCTGTGCCATGTACTCGATCAGCAGAAGACTACTATTACAAGTTAGATGTTACAAAACAGTTCGCGTCACTGACGGTTTATCACACCTGTGTGATGATCACAAACGAGAAAGACAAATCAGTCTGGACAAGGTTAAGGAAGAAAAAGAAGCTAAGATGAAAGCGATTCAGCTGGAAACAGAAGAGAAAAAGAAGGCCACAGCGGCGACACCCCCCTTGGTAACATTTAAACTGAGCTGTCCGGGTTGTGGAGCTAAGTATCAACACGACCATCCTGATAAAGCAGGGTATCTGGAGTACTCCGCCATGATGAGCTGGGATGCCAGGTCCTCACTTCCTTGTGAGCGGTGTGAGAAAGTAGCTGATTCACAGCATCATCAGATGTATTCTATTAGTGAGACAAGGTTTTCTAAATTACTCAAAAAGATATCTCAGAAGAAAGCACTAGGCGTGGTAGTCTGTGACGTCATTGGTTTTCCCTCCAGTTTACCTCCTAATTTACCCAACATCTACCCGCCTGGTTCTCCTATTATTCTGTGTCTTAACAAGTGTGATGTTCTTGCAGCTAGTCCTGGTAAAATGAATATTATCGAACAGTTTTACAGACCTCTTATAGAGAAATGGGAGAAGCAAAACAATCTAAGATTCAATGAAATAATATTTGCGAGTGGTAAAACAGGCGTTGGGTTACCTGAACTGGCCTTGCATATTCAACAATATATTCATGGAGATAAGTATTGCAACGATCTGGACTTTTGCTATTTACTGGGTGTTACAAATGCAGGTAAATCAACTTTATTCAATAAATTATCACCACTGATGAACTATAAAATGAAGAGTATAGGAAATGTGACCGAGTCTCCCCTCCCGGGAACTACAGTCAGCAATATTAGTTCAGTAATACAGCCTCCCCCTCAAATAACTAAACATAAGAAGCATTCCACTGCTCAAATACTTCATAAGAAAGTGAACCAGCTGGAGAAGCTGATAATACCTTCAGACATGCCACTAGAGGAGAACTCTCTTTCTGCGTGGTTTAAAATCAAGATAGATGAACAGTTGATGGGAACTACAGAGGAGAAGATCCTGATAGACACTCCAGGAGTACTGGCACATAACTCCGTACCTGAGTCTGTGTTCGCTTGCCAGTATAAGATATACAATAGAACTGTTGAGCTGGAGCCAGGGTCCTGTCTCTCTTTCGGGTGGTACAAAGTGTACTGTGTTCGTGGGAATGTCAGCCTCAAACTCGGGATTAATGTACCTTCTCTTGTAGACTACCATATCACTTCAGATGTGTCAGATACCTCAGTAGGGGTGACAGACTCAGGAGTTCAGCTCTGTAATAAACTATATGTAATGAGCGGACTTCACATTAAAACAAGACCTAATCGTAGTAGGGCCACTGGTGACATTTGTTTAGGAAACTTAGGATGGATTTCAGTACATTTACCTCCCGGAGATGATGTTACGGTTTTAGTTTTTGGTCCTAGATTAGAGGACATTCATTACAGGACGCCTGGTTTTCATATTAATGTACCTAAATTAGATGGTTTACGTAGAAAGAGAAACTCTGTTGATAGCAGCCCTGATAAAGTGTTATTTGATGAGGAGGATATTATGTGTGATGATCTGTTATGATTGTCTATTTGTTTTTAATAAAGACGAGCTGTTTGAAATTAAAGTTTGAAAATTTCAGAGAAATTAATTTTTTATTTTATCTGCTACTTAAATTTATTGACGTTTTTACACATTATGATTTTGAACAAACTTTTACTAACTTATTGCCCTACTGCCCTAGTTGCTGTCATTTTAAATTGTAACTTTACCACATTTGGAGAGTCATTTCATCGTAAAATATATAAATATCATGAAAGTAAACTTACTTAATATAAAAATAAACATTATGAAAGTAACCTTACTCATTATAACTTTATAAAAGTAACACCAGGAGAAATGAACGTCCCAGTTTCTCCGGCCCAGTTCCCCAGCCTGCAGATATTAAGCGCTACAGTAGTAGTGAAGCGGACCCACCCTGACATCTCCCACTGCAATATCTACATCTGTAACACTCTACTCGAGCTCTGTGTTAAGCACAACCAGCTCAGAATATTCCGTATACTCCTGGAGAGCTGGCCTCATGTGGACAGCAGACTCCACCTTAAGCAACTACACTGCACTATCTTCAGAGTTTAGCTATACTGGAGCATCAGGGCGTGGTTTCTAAGGTCCTCAAGAACGTGTTCGTTAATGCTCCCTATGCAGGTAAAGTGGGTGAGTTAATGCTCCCTATGCAGGTAAAGTTGGTGAGTTAATGCTCCCTATGCAGGTTAAGTGGGTGAGTTAATGCTCCCTATGCAGGTTAAGTGGGTGAGTTAATGCTCCCTATGCAGGTAAAGTGGGTGAGTTAATGCTCCCTATGCAGGTAAAGTGGGTGAGTTAATGCTCCCTATGCAGGTAAAGTGGGTGAGTTAATGCTCCCTATGCAGGTAAAGTGGGTGAGTTAATGCTCCCTATGCAGGTAAAGTGGGTGAGTTAATGCTCCCTATGCAGGTAAAGTGGGTGAGTTAATGCTCCCTATGCAGGTAAAGTGGGTGAGTTAATGCTCCCTATGCAGGTAAAGTGGGTGAGTTAATGCTCCCTATGCAGGTAAAGTGGGTGAGTTAATGCTCCCTATAGCTATGCAGGTAAAGTGGGTGAGTTAATGCTCCCTATAGCTATGCAGGTAAAGTGGGTGAGTTAATGCTCCCTATGCAGGTAAAGTGGGTGAGTTAATGCTCCCTATAGCTATGCAGGTAAAGTGGGTGAGTTAATGCTCCCTATGCAGGTAAAGTGGGTGAGTTAATGCTCCCTATGCAGGTAAAGTTGGTGAGTTAATGCTCCCTATGCAGGTAAAGTGGGTGAGTTAATGCTCCCTATGCAGGTAAAGTTGGTGAGTTAATGCTCCCTTATGCAGGTAAAGTTGGTGAGTTAATGCTCCCTATGCAGGTAAAGTTGGTGAGTTAATGCTCCCTATGCAGGTAAAGTTGGTGAGTTAATGCTCCCTATGCAGGTAAAGTTGGTGAGTTAATGCTCCCTATGCAGGTAAAGTGGGTGAGTTAATGCTCCCTATGCAGGTAAAGTGGGTGAGTTAATGCTCCCTATGCAGGTAAAGTTGGTGAGTTAATGCTCCCTATGCAGGTAAAGTTGGTGAGTTAATGCTCCCTATGCAGGTAAAGTTGGTGAGTTAATGCTCCCTATGCAGGTAAAGTTGGTGAGTTAATGCTCCCTATGCAGGTAAAGTGGGTGAGTTAATGCTCCCTATGCAGGTAAAGTGGGTGAGTTAATGGCGATATTTCAAAACCGGTTGCACAGACTCACAGAGGCCAAAATTTCGAAACCCCCTTAGGCCATAAATTCCGGTTTAATTTGGTAGACAAATGTTTTGAGGGTCAGGATCAACAAATTTTATGCAAAAATATGGAACAGAAAAATTTTAGTAGCTTATTGAAGTCAAAAATCTGAAATTTTTCTGAAAAATTCAAATTTCGTTAGATTGAATGCCAGGAGATAAGATGTGAAAATGATTTCTGGCTCCAATTTCTGGTCATAGGATATTCAGATGTTACAAATGATTGTGCAAATTTTGTCCACCGTGTATGGGTTTTTCTAGGCGACTCCTCAAAGAAGCTGATGAAGCTCTGTGACGAAAAAATGCAACAAAAGTTTTCTCAGAGTGATATTATATGACCTGAATCACTTTAAACCTTTAAAATGAATAAAACCTATCTCAGTAGAGTGCAAATAGTGAGTAACCAACAGTTTGGATTTATCTCATGCACCTAGCCAAAGATATAGGCTTTCAAAGTCATGAAGCTCTGTGACGAAAAATTCCAAAAATCACACAAAATCGTCACACAGCCTTCATTTCGTGCCAAAATAGTTGTTTACAACTCAGAAGAACATAATTGAGTCATACCAAACATAAAACAAAATTTTGTCCCAAAAAATTAGAATTTGAAATTTTGAATTTGCGGTTATCAGATTTTTAAGGTCGTTTCCTCAAATTCTCAACAATGGCATCCTTCATTTTGATTTAAATGTGTACCTGGTCGTAATATTCTATGATTTTCAAGTCATCACATCCCTAAAATAACATTAACTGCTTCTATGGCTAATTTTTGGCTTAAAATTGCAAAATTGATGCTCTGTGACGAAAATCTTTTGTCAATATTGAGCATTGTGTTCATTCAATTGCCCCTTTTTGTCTTTTAATCATGTTTGCTTCTAAGAAGAACCTGATTGGGTAAAATTTCAATAGATAGAAATTTTTTTTTGAATAAAGGTCCAAAATTTACGAATCAATAATTTCTATGGGCGTGTCTGAAGTTGCTGGGATGGAATTTTGCGATGAGCACAGAAATACAAAAGTGCAAAATTCTATCCGATGCTCTGTGACGAAAATTTCAATCCTGTATATCTCCTACAAAGAATGACCTGGCCACATAATTTTTTCACTGAAGTTAGTTCGTGTCATAGGCAACATTCTGGGATCAAAAGTATTTATGGTGAATGAAAGAAAAAACCTTGGTAGGCTCTCAAAGCCATCAAAGATGCTCTGTGACAAAAAAGAGGGTTTTGAAATATCGCCTAATGCTCCCTATGCAGGTTGTTTGCTGGAAGTACTTCCATTATTCACTGTGTTATTTTAGAACCTTATTTGATGACATAATCAGAGTTAAATATTAATAATCTATGATCGTCACTTATAACGACCCTTTATTGCCGATCTGACCCAATAATGTATGTAATAGATTTTAATCTTCAATTTGAACCATGTAAAAGTAACAAGATAACGAGGTTTATAAACCTATCTCCTCAGGCTACACCAGTACGAACGTGTTATGCAGTGCAGCTCTAGGATTACTAGAGGACTACTCGTGTCTCATCAGTCAAGTTAAACAAACAGCAGAACCTCACTTCAGACGAGCTAGGAAGCGGCCTCGTATTGGCTCTGAACCAGCTTCCTCCGCAGACAATCGCACTTTATCTGTTTACACTCCACTTAACATTAACAACACCAACATCAAGACTCTACTCCGCTACCTCAGAACTCCCAACGAAAATAAAGTTATAAACATTGTCCCATCCGCCCTGATATTCACTTCTCTACAGTCGGCTCTCATATTCAAAGCACTGCGCCTCGTGGACCACGTGGAGTTGAGAATGTTGGGCATTGATTTCAGTTTGCAATCGGACGAGGAGTTATCAAGCGTGGACCACATACCTATCTTAAATAAATTCTCTAACCTCCGCAGTATATCACTAACTTACAACTACCTTTCTGGTCAGGACAAGGAACTCAATCTGATCAACTCTTTAAAATCACTGCCCAACTTATGTAAGCTTAATCTGAGTGGTAATATTCTAGGTAACAACGCGTGTTTATATGTGTCACCTTCACTCAGAGAAATAGTTCTCGGCAATACATATCCTTCAACAGACAGCTTACGCAGAATGGGGCACATTATTGGGAAGAACATACTAAAACTAAAACTATCAGATAATGGTATGGAGAGCAAGTTGGGGGGTCTCCTAGAACTCTTATCTAAATGTGAAGCACTAATCTCTATAGACCTGGCAGGGAACCAGCTCAGTACTCCCCGGACTACAAGACAGCTACTAACAGCACTACAACCAGTGGAGCCCACACTGGAGACCCTCATACTGTCCCACAACATGTTTAAGGAGCCGGAGAGGGAGACTATAATAGCGGAAATGAGCAAGTTCTCCTGTTTAAAGGAGCTGGTGCTGGGACCTTACCTGCCTGACTTGTTGTTGTCTGATGATCTGACTACCAACGAGAGGAAGCTTATGAGTGAACAGTGTGGGAGACCTGATATTAGCATGTTTTTATTGTCTACCTGCTAAACAAATTTGGTGGCCAAATTTTGAAATTTGCCTGGCATGGCTGGCCGTGGGCACCTGGAGTTCGTGACCCCCTCCAGATTTTTGCCATAGGCCTTAATTTGTTGGTATCTCGAAATCAAGTTTCATATAGAAAAATCAGGGTGAACCTATTTTGATATCATATGTAACCAATACAATGAATTAATTGATTTTTTGTTAAGAAATATTTGGGATTTGTTTGATTGAATATTTTCTGCTTGGCCAATTAATTAATTAGTACCCAGTTTGAACCTGTATCACAGTGTAATACTCTGGTCATTACTACTATTGTATTGTATTGTTACTACTATTGTATTGTATTGTTACTACTAAGTACTAACATAATGATTGTCATGATCTAGGGGAATTGTAATGATTATAATCACTGTCAGCTTTGCAATGATCTGGTTACTTTGCAATGATCTGGTTACTTTGTTTTTGATGCATGTTTTCTGAGTTTTTATATATACAGTATATTATTCGATCGTTTAGATCTTACTAAGAACTCTGATATTACACTCGTGACAAAACAATACCACAAAATCCTGATTATTAATATCACCAAATGTGTAATACAAATTGTTTTTTACGCAAGAACGAAGTTTTGTTGTTTTGTTCATCTTTATTATTGCAAAAACCAAATAATAATATCAAGGTGGCTCTCATGAACCCCGACTAGGCGCTAACTCTACTCCTCTTACTCCTACTTACCTTACTTTTACTACTCTACAATCCTCTTCTTCTTGATAACATCCTAACTAACCACCAGTGATAAAGTGATGAACCTCCTCCTCCTCCTCCTCCTCCTCCTCCTCCTCCTACTCCTCCCCTGCTGCCTCACCTCACCTACCCTCATACCTGGCAATATCCCGGTATTTCACCAGCAGTTAGAGCATGGTCAGAGTAGGCAATACGTCCTACACAATCTGTTGCCTGGTTAGTAAAGAATTAAGAAGGGCTGGGGGTGCCGGGGGGGGGGGGGGGCTACCTCATAAATACCTGTTATCCTCTCCCAATTCCCATTTAAAAATAGGTTTAGGTATTTACGGTTATTGATAGTTATTTAAAAGTTTTATTGTTTTTTTTTCAACATTTTTCCCACTTTTAACATTTTGTATTCAGGGGGTTGGGATAAAGTTTTAAAACCAATTTTTTGGGTTGTACTATTGGGAAAAATTGGATTTTTTTGCCTTTGTGCACCTTAAATTTGGGTTGTATAGGGTTTTAATTTGATCCAAGGATTATAAACAGTTCAGCCTATCGAAGGGTTGTTTTTATAGAAGTTGTTGCACATTTTGACAACAATTAAAAAATTTCCAAAAAAACGTTTTTCGTCGAAAATTTATCAAATAATCAATGTTGCTCAGAATCTTATGAAACGTCCAAAAAAGTAGCTTTTAGCTGCCCTAGACGATATTTGGTATAATACCTATAAATAACTATTATCGAAATTCCCCCGGCCCCCCCCCCCCGCCCCCCCCCCCCCCCCCCCCCCCCCCCCCCCCCCCTTAGGAGCGGGTTTTAGCAAGAGGCCCTGTATTTTGCTTGTATCTTCGTCCATTGACCATTATCAACTACCAAATGATTATATAATTACCAAATTCTTCTGAAATCTTACAATTTGAAATTTCTTGGATTTTTAAATGCTTTGAACATTTTGAGTTTTAAAAACTGTTTGAAATATAACTTGATTATGTTTTACATGATATTGCGATATACAATTAGCAATATGCAATTAACAAATTAGATAACAAATTAACTGATTAACCAATTAATAATTAACCAGGTGAAGTGTACGAGTTTAAAGTAAGTTACCCAGCAACACAGCCCTTTACCTTTACCATCACCTTCTCTCAAACCTTATCAGAGGAGCTTCCTAATAGGAAGTTACTGGACATTGAAAAAGAGGAGTTCGTGCCTAGGAGCGCTACTATGTTCGTTACTGTGAGTGTTGTGTGTTACTGTTCGTGCCTAGGAGCGCTACTATGTTCGTTACTGTGAGTGTTATGTGTTACTGTTCGTGCCTAGGAGCGCTACTATGTTCGTTACTGTGAGTGTTATGCCGCTGTATTTATATCTTATAATATTTTATTGTATCTTATATCTTATAATGATTATCTGACGGGTGTTTGTGTGCAGGTAACAGCGCACGATTACAGACGTGCAATAAAGCACGCGGCCCACGTGTCCTACAGTGTGTACTACGAGCGCGTGCACAACGGAGTACCCGCACAAGCGTACACTCTAATAGCCTGGCTCTGTGTCCTGCTGCCTTGTGCTGTGTTCTGCTCTCAGTGGATATTCAGAAACTGGTATGATATGAAACACGAACACGAGAGTTGACATCTGGGATTATGTTATTTACTAACTAATTAATTAATCACCTTGATTTATTGCCAAATATTCACTGGACGTTAAGGCATGGCATGTATCATTACCCTTGATTTGTATACTTATTTTTGAATAACAGATGCATTCTTCGCCAGGCTGGTCTATCAAATGCAAGATTTCAATTTTTTTCAATTAATCATTTATGTTAATATTAATAAGAAAAATATATCGATTACATAAACTTCATGAGTCAGATTATTTTTGTAATACTCTTTCCGAACTACTCGGTAAATGGATTTTGTATTGATAGTATTTATTTAAATACTGAGCACTTTCTTATAATCCAGGTAGTTTTTCTTGTTAGAAACAAGTACGGTTGATTAATGATTAATAACACAATCTTAATTAACGTTTCTTCCGAGATTTTCGTAAATTCAAAATTTCAAAACTTTCCCACACTTTTATTTAAATTCTATAACTTTCCCTGTAACGCAGGTTCAGTCTGATTGTGGGTGATTACCTCACAAGCATGTAATGTGATGTGCTTATTTTAAGTAAGAGCATTTTTAACATATTTCAGCAATATAATATGTTACGGAAATATGTTATGTTTTCTTCAAGAGGAATCGCGGAAAAAAATAATGAGATATAAATAATTTCTCGATTTCTATTCGACTGACTGCTTAATTTGCAGAATTAGAAATATCTTTTTTTTGCTGTTATGTCTAATTGAAGAATTTTGCGATTTATAGAGATCACTTCTTTTAAATTCAGAATGTGATTTCCAATCACAATTTCTATCCGAAACTAAATTTTGATAAGTTTGGTGTAATTTTAGAAAATCTTCTACGTATTTGACTTTCAGTAATAACGAGTTGAAAATGAGTTTTTATTATAGATTATTTTTTAACCAGTTTCTGATTTTTGTTAATTTTTGTCATGAATTGATTTTGAGTCCATGACAGATGTGTTTGCTATTCACCGTTCTATAAGATATTAATGGTTAACCATTTAACTTTTTGATAGGCTCAATATTATGGACTTCACTTGGGCAGAGCTCTATTTCGTGACAGCTTTCTTGAAGCTATTCTTGTTTCACTCCTACCATTCTACTGATTTTGAGGTGCACAGAAATTGGTTGGCTATCACTAACTCCCTGCCAACCGATCAGGTGACTGACCGAGACTTTTAGTTTTAACAGTAGTATGTATTTGAATATTGATTGTCACATTTCGAATTACGCCAAGGGGAAGTAGCTCAAATGGTAGAGCGCCCGATTCGCATTCGGGAGGTAGCGGGATCGATGCCCGCCTTCTCCACTTTTGGCCCTTCTTACATGGGAACCGCGGATATAACTAATATTGCACATTTTGTTGTTAATTTCAGTATGCCCTTTCCTTAAATGTTTTTACTCGCAGTAGATATAGATATATGCCCTCCTATTTCTATCGTCCATGGAAAGACAGGACTCCTCGAAGTAGATTGGTATAACAACATTTTCCCTTCCAAGTTCCGGTGACTTTAGGTTGCTTTACTTAGGCTCCGCTGTTGTTGCAACCACTAGATATTGATCGTCCCTCTTCCTCTAATTTGTCTTCCTCTCCTTCCCCAACGTCAAGACTTGACATTTTGCAGGTTGACACTTCGTGTCAACCCGCAAAATGGGCAACCGACCCTGCACAGCAACAAGTAATTCCGCAACCGCTTCAATGACGCGCGAACAGATTTTCGCTGTGTTTCAGCATTTGCGCGCGGCTCGAAGACAGCACCGAATTAATGATCACGTGACGCGACAATGTCATATTTCCTATCAAATGTACAAAAAATGTCCATTATTTTATATATACTACATTCTTTCGTTTTTCCGAGTTTGGTTGGAACAGCTAACACTGTTGAAGTTTTTTGCATAATTTTTGAAAGCCAAAATTACTAGTTCAAGGGGGCTATATTTATGAGTCGCATTTGAACTTGATTTCTCTTGGAGAATTTCTCTTTAGACTCTTAACTTGCGAACAAATTGAAGCAGCAAACTTTAGGCTAGAAACTTTATTGAATTGAAATAATCATTCCACGTAACAACGTCTTCTTCAGTTCTCAAATTATTTGTTATATAGTAGTGTTGAAAGTATTGAAACATTTTAGGGTCCTGTCTAAGAGAAATTCTCCAAGCCAAAATTACTGTATTAGTTTTTACGGACATAACTGTTTTAGTTTTTACGGACATAACTGTTTTAGTTTTTACGGACATTATTTTTCAGTGGTATTATGAAAAGACCTCTCAGTGGACTCTGGACTACCCGCCCTTATTTGCATGGTTCCAGTACATCCTATCCCTGGTAGCCGGTCTGTTCGATCCCAACATGTTGGTAATCTCAGAGGCTCCGTACTTCAATCATCTCACCCTTCTGTTTCAGAGACTAAGTGTGATAGTATCCGACATTGTGCTCTGTTTTGCCTGTTCCAAGGCTTCCAGGTACGTGCATACTGTTAGTGGTGGCAAGTTCAGTGACAGGAATGTGAAAATGATGCTGACAGTGTGTTACCTGGGGTGTGCGGGGCTGCTTATAGTGGATCACATCCACTTCCAGTATAACGGCTTCCTGTCCGGGATATTCCTCCTGTCACTGGTTAGTGTAGCAGAGGGAGATATGGTCCTAGGAGGTTTCTACTTCTCACTACTTCTCAACCTCAAACACATTTACCTGTATGTGGCTCCTGTTTATTTCGTGTATATGCTCAGAGCCCACATGTTTCACAACAACAAGTTTCTAGGACTGGATCTGATGGGACTAGTGAAATTGGGCGGTTGCGTTATTGCGGTTTTTGGCGCTTCTTTTGGTCCATTCCTCAACCATCTGCCCCAGATCTTGTCCCGACTGTTTCCTGTGCATCGTGGACTTTGTCACGCATACTGGGCCCCTAACTTCTGGTCACTTTACAACCTACTGGACATCAGCCTCAGTAAGGCATTTCAAATCCTCGGTATTCTCCCAAAATCAGGCGTCCACCCGCTCATGTCTGGTCTGGTGCAACAAGCGGACTTCTTGATTTTACCGAACGTGTCTCCTGCACACTGTGCTACACTTACCCTGGTAACACTGACTCCAGCTCTAGTGAAGCTCTTCAAACATCCCTCTCCGCTACTCTTCTTGAGAAGTGTCACAGCTGCTGCCTTCACTTCCTTCTTCCTGGGGTACCACGTCCACGAGAAAGCTATCCTCGTCATACTGATACCCTACGCTTTGCTTGTCTTTTCAAATCTTCAGAGTGGCAAGGACTTTCTCTTTTTGTCGTTTCTTGGAACTTACTCGCTTTTTCCCTTGCTGTTTGAAGCTCAAGAGTTCTTAGTGAAAATTGTTATTCTGCTCATGATACACAGTTTCATGTTTGTGACTCTCCGCAAACTATATCCAGAATTTAAGCTGGACATGTTTGAAAAGTTGTACTTGTATGGACTTGTAGGTCACTTCGCTGTGGCCGAAGTAATTCTGCCAATATTCCTACCTCGTTTAGAGTTTTTACCACTCTTACTTTACTCGGCGTATTGTTCCGGCGGTACATTGTATAGCTATTATAAACTTTTAGCCTCAGTTTGAGAATTTTCTTAATTGGCTTGTGTATACAGGGTATTTAACGTATTTTGCAGATAAGTTTTAGTATTTAACCATCCTGATTCCTGATCCTTCTTTTTAAATCATCTCCATAACACTTTGCATTTATGTCCAGATCGAAATCTATTGACAGTTTAATTTTTACGACGATACATTTTCTTTGTGCTAATTATTAGTTGCCGGCTTACAAATTGTTAATTGACGTTTCAATATTTTATCAGATCAATGTTGTTAATTTTATTGTAGTGGGTTTCTAGCTATTTATTTAAGCCATTAATTATATTCGCTCTTTTATTTCGTTCATAAAAAGCTTTTAATAAGTAGGTGGTCTAAAAATTGCCTGATACATTCCAATACATAGCACATCAATAAATAACTAAGCAGCGTCAATCGGGCACGTGATCACACAATCGGGCACGTGATCACACAATCGGGCACGTGATCACACAATCGGGCACGTGATCACACAATCGGGCACGTGATCACACAATCGGGCACGTGATCACACAATCGGGCACGTGATCACACAATCGGGCACGTGATCACACAATCGGGCACGTGATCACACAATCGGGCACGTGATCACACAATCGGGCACGTGATCACACAATCGAGCACGTGATCGCACAACTAACTGTCTGTCATGTTACATAGCAGTTCTTATTTAACGAGTGGGATATATTCAATATTTATTCCAAGCCTTAAAACGTAAAAGCAGGCTTGAAGCTCGTTCTCCGGTAGAATGATGTTGGTGTTTTACATGATCCATCATGTTTCATCATCCAATACATTTTCAAGTTTATTTGGTGTACTTTTTCCTTGGTCACTTAGTTTTGAGCTGTTCCGCTTTCTCTTTCCTCCTCGATAACCGTCCACACACTTTCGATGAAATCCTCTGGGAAGTCAAATTCTCCCAACATGTCGTTGATATCCTGAAAATGTTGCTATGTTTAGAACATCTCCCTCTAAGGTATTCTGTTTGGAACTAAGCCGTAGTACATACATATTACACTACACTGGAGCCAGTTGGGAATCCGGAGCCAGACGATGGGAAGCCGAGGCATAACATTTTGAAAAGAAACTCCGGGGGGGCCAACTCACCTTAGCAAAGTCATCTTTAGTAGTATTATCATCACTAGTCTCCAGCAGCGTGCAAGCTAACTCTAGATCTCTTATTCCCATGTACGACTAGGGTTGTAATATTATTATCCAATTAAAAGAGAATCTATAATATTATATACAGTTTTCATGTATACAGTTTTCATGTATACAGTTTTCATGCCCGTATAGGAATGAAGCGTTATTTTTCAAAAGAGATTGCGAACTACAGCATTACAATAATGTTATTGTTTTGATGGTTAAAATAATATTTATCTACTAATCAGATCCCTCGACGATATATATAGATATAAATATTATATGTATTATTTATCATTCATTGTTAATATCATTTCTTTCAAACAAGTGGGGGGGGGGGGGGGGGGGGGGGCAAACGGATCGTTTCATGGTACAGTTATAGAAAGAACAATTTTCTTTTCTGGGAAACCAAGCAACAACTAATCATTAGTACATATTAATGTATATATATGTATAATATCTCTTACCTCTAGCAGGTCGTCGACCTTGAGTTTAGCTGCTTCCAGCCAGCTACAAGTCACTGCTTCCTGGACCGTTCCGTCCGACTTTATCCGCACTGTTGCTTTCCCGTCCTGTACAGTTTTCCCCATTTTACCGTCTTTCTCATCAGGTCTCTTAGAATCATATGATAAGAAGTGTAACAGAACTTATACTAACTAAGGAGTTGAAGTAAAGAAATTATCAAAGAAATGAAGTTGAGCAGTGTAGATATATGGAGAGATATAGTGGGGATATTAACCTGGAGTGAGTCGTTAGAGGTGGTGGAGGTGAGAGCGGGGGCTCGTCTAGGACACAGGTTACTGTCGAACCCTTGTTTGGGTTCTATCAGAACCAGGTCCAACATGCCCCCTACCTGGCAGGTAGCAACTTTAGGAGCTAGCTAAACACAATCCCCCAGGTAGCAACTTTAGGAGCTAGCTAAACACAATCCCCCAGGTAGCAGCTTTAGGAGCTAGCTAAACACAATCCCCCAGGTAGCAACTTTAGGAGCTAGCTAAACACAATCCCCCCAGGTAGCAACTTTAGGAGATAGCTAAACACAATCCCCCAGGTAGCAACTTTAGGAGCTAGCTAAACACAATCCCCCAGGTAGCAACTTTAGGAGCTAGCTAAACACAATCCCCCAGGTAGCAACTTTAGGAGCTAGCTAAACACAATCCCCCAGGTAGCAGCTTTAGGAGCTAGCTAAACACAATCCCCCAGGTAGCAACTTTAGGAGCTAGCTAAACACAATCCCCCCAGGTAGCAACTTTAGGAGATAGCTAAACACAATCCCCCAGGTAGCAACTTTAGGAGCTAGCTAAACACAATCCCCCAGGTAGCAACTTTAGGAGCTAGCTAAACACAATCCCCCAGGTAGCAACTTTAGGAGCTAGCTAAACACAATCCCCCAGGTAGCAACTTTAGGAGCTAGCTAAACACAATCCCCCAGGTAGCAACTTTAGGAGCTAGCTAAACACAATCCCCCAGGTAGCAGCTTTAGGAGCTAGCTAAACACAATCCCCCAGGTAGCAGCTTTAGGAGCTAGCTAAACTCAATCCCCCCAGGTAGCAACTTTAGGAGATAGCTAAACACAATCCCCCAGGTAGCAACTTTAGGAGCTAGCTAAACACAATCCCCCAGGTAGCAACTTTAGGAGCTAGCTAAACACAATCCCCCAGGTAGCAACTTTAGGAGATAGCTAAACACAATCCCCCAGGTAGCAACTTTAGGAGCTAGCTAAACACAATCCCCAGGTAGCAGCTTTAGGAGCTAGCTAAACACAATCCCCCCAGGTAGCAACTTTAGGAGCTAGCTAAACACAATCCCCCAGGTAGCAACTTTAGGAGCTAGCTAAACACAATCCCCAGGTAGCAACTTTAGGAGCTAGCTAAACACAATCCCCCCAGGTAGCAACTTTAGGAGATAGCTAAACACAATCCCCCAGGTAGCAACTTTAGGAGATAGCTAAACACAATCCCCCCAGGTAGCAACTTTAGGAGCTAGCTAAACACAATCCCCCCAGGTAGCAACTTTAGGAGCTAGCTAAACACAATCCCCCAGGTAGCAACTTTAGGAGCTAGCTAAACACAATCCCCCAGGTAGCAGCTTTAGGAGCTAGCTAAACACAATCCCCCAGGTAGCAACTTTAGGAGCTAGCTAAACACAATCCCCCAGGTAGCAACTTTAGGAGCTAGCTAAACACAATCCCCCAGGTAGCAACATTAGGAGCTAGCTAAACACAATCCCCCAGGTAGCAACTTTAGGAGCTAGCTAAACACAATCCCCCAGGTAGCAACTTTAGGAGCTAGCTAAACACAATCCCCCAGGTAGCAACTTTAGGAGATAGCTAAACACAATCCCCCCAGGTAGCAACTTTAGGAGCTAGCTAAACACAATCCCCCAGGTAGCAACTTTAGGAGCTAGCTAAACACAATCCCCCAGGTAGCAACTTTAGGAGCTAGCTAAACACAATCCCCCAGGTAGCAGCTTTAGGAGCTAGCTAAACACAATCCCCCCAGGTAGCAACTTTAGGAGCTAGCTAAACACAATCCCCCCAGGTAGCAACTTTAGGAGCTAGCTAAACACAATCCCCCCAGGTAGCAACTTTAGGAGATAGCTAAACACAATCCCCCACAATTGCTATTAACTATGAACACTGACTATCATTTTTTGCTATACTATAAATCAGTCTCTGCGACTCCTCCAAATTATGTCCTAAGAATCAAATACCAGGTCAGGAACGTACGGGAACGTCCCTAAGTTTAGCAGCTACTGCGTAGTGTCTGGACCCGACAAGAGACACGTCCCCGAGTTTACAAAGCTGGTCGCCCACGTGTATATGTCCTGACTTCTCAGCTACACTGCCCGGCTTGATCCGCTTTACAAAGCAACACCTGAGAGTTGGGTGTCATGGTTACGTCACTCTTACGTCACTCTTACGTCTGTTCTTTGTCGCAATACTCTACTTGTTTTGTAAGTATTATATAACGTTGATATGCGACTGGATAACGTCACGTGTCGTATCGACCCGAGGCTCACTGATCTCATGAAATGATTATCCCGCATTTGGAGCGACCAAATCGTGAGGTGTTGCTTACATTTACAGACTACAGAGGCTACGAGGTTATTGAGTTATTGGGTCAATGGTCAGTTATTAACCGGTAATTAACCGGTCATTTACTGGTGGATTCTATAAAAAGGTACCTATAGGCTTTAAACTAAGAACTGGACATCAAGTACTGGTCAGTGGTCACTAAGTACTGGTTACTAAGTACTGGTCACTAAGTACTGGTCACTAAGTACCGGTCACTAAGTACTGGTTACTAAGTACTGGTCACTAAGTACTGGTCACTAAGTACTGGTCACTAAGTGCTAGTCACTAAGTGCTGGTCACTAAGTGCTGGTCACTAAGTGCTGGCCACTAAGTACTGGTCACTAAGTACTGGTCACTAAGTACTGGTCACTAAGTGCTGGTCACTAAGTACTGGTCACTAAGTACTGGTCACTTAGTACTGGTCACTAAGTACTGGTCACTAAGTACTGGTCACTCAGTGCTGGCCACTAAGTACTGGTCACTAAGTGCTGGTCACTAAGTGCTGGTTACTAAGTACTGGTCACTAAGTACTGGTCACTAAGTGCTGGTCACTAAGTGCTGGTCACTAAGTGCTGGCCACTAAGTACTGGTCACTAAGTACTGGCCACTAAGTACTGGTCACTAAGTACTGGTCACTAAGTGCTGGTTACTAATTACTGGTCACTAAGTACTGGTCACTAAGTGCTGGTCACTAAGTGCTGGCCACAAAGTACTGGTCACTAAGTACTGGTCACTAAGTGCTGGTCACTAAGTCCTGGTCACTAAGTGCTGGTCACTAAGTACTGGTCAATAAGTGCTGGTCACTAAGTGCTGGCCACTAAGTACTGGTCACTAAGTACTGGTCACTAAGTACTGGTCACTAAGTGCTGGTCACTAAGTGCTGGTCACTAAGTCCTGGTCACTAAGTACTGGTCACTAAATAAAAGAGTAGTTGATAAAATGGTTGTGCTCACCCCATGCTGTTATCAGTGATAGTTATTCCCAGCGCTTTTTCTTCCTTCTTGACATGTGCCTGCAGATTTATCATTATAATATATAGAGTCCTATAATATAATTTAGAGTCCTATAATATAATTTAGAGTCCTATCCTGTTTAACCTCATTGTACCTGCAAGTTATATTAATGTAGTATATATAATGATATACATTAGTATATATAATAATATATATTATAATTAATGTAAATGTTCTCTGTAACCTCTCTAACATGTGTCATGACACATGGTGTGACGTCATGACACATGGTGTGACGTCATGACACATGGTGTGACGTCATGACACGTGGTGTGACGTCATGACACGTGGTGTGACGTCATGACACGTGGTGTGACGTCATGACACGTGGTGTGACGTCATGACACGTGGTGTGACGTCATGACACGTGGTAACAATATATATTATAAATGTAAATATTCTCGGTTACCTCTCTAACTTGACCCTGGATGTGTACGAATATAAAGTCGTTATAAACCACCAGTCCCGACAACAGGTTCCTCATGTCTATCTTAGGTGTGTTCAGAGTGCAGAACATTATCTTCCTTATGTCGATCTCTAGCTCGATTGCTGGAATATTTTATTGGTAATCAATGTCGTAAAAAATGGGTAAAATCGTGGTATTCGCGGATTTTGCTAATTGCGCGTTGCAGTTGCTCAAGTCAGTGCACACACGTTGTATCTCCCTTTTCGCGCGCGAAAGGGCCGGGATATGCAACGTGCAGCAAGATTTGGTAGTATTCAAATGTCCAAGCAGCCATATATCCGGGGGTACCGCGACAATTGACCCCCGACAATTGACCCCCCGACAATTGACCCCCCGACAATTGACCCCCCGACAATTGACCCCCTATGTAATTACACTGGGGTCAATTGTCGCGAAATCTAGGGCTTAGTACGACAATTGACCCCCCGACAATTGACCCCCGACAATTGACCCCCCCGACAATTAACCCCCCGACAATTGACCCCCCGACAATTGACCCTCTATGTAATTACACTGGGGTCAATTGTCGCGAAATCTAGGGCTTAGTACGACAATTGACCCCCCGACAATTGACCCCCCGACAATTGACCCCCCGACAATTGTAATTAAACTGGGGTAAATTAATCGGGTTAGGGTTAGGGTTAGGGTTAGGGTTAGGGTTAGGGTTAGGGTTAGGGTTAGGGTTAGGGTTAGGGTTAGGGTTGGGGTTGGGGTTGGGGTTGGGGTTAGGGTTAGGGTTAGGGTTGGGGTTAGGGTCAGGGAGAGCTGTTCCTGGGTCAGGGTCCTGGGTCAGGGTCAGGGTCAGGGTCGGGGTCCTGGGTCAGGGTCAGGGTCAGGGTCAGGGTCAGGGTCAGGGTCAGGGTCAGGGTCAGGGTCAGGGTCAGGGTCAGGGTCAGGGTCAGGGTCAGGGTCAGGGTCAGGGTCAGGGTCAGGGTCAGGGTCAGGGTCAGGGTTAATTGTATTAAATTATATTTTCGGGGGTCAATTGTCGGGGGGTCAATTGTCGGGGGGTCAATTGTCGGGGGGTCAATTGTCGGGGGGTCAATTGTCGGGGGTCAATTGTCGGGGGGTTAATTGTCGGGGGGTCAATTGTCGGGGGGTCAATTGTCGGGGGGTCAATTGTCGGGGGGTCAATTGTCGCCCACCCATATCCGGGACTCAGGCAGGCACGTAGCCAGGGGGGGGGGGGGGCAGGGGACTCAGGAGACTGAAACCTACCCAGTTTAGTGTATAGATCCTTTAGAGAGAGGAAAGTGTTGATCCTCTTGGTGGATCCACCATGTGCCAGCTGTGTGTAGAACTGAAGCTATAACAATTGTGTTAAGTAACACTTTCACTTTCACTTTCAATTTAACTTTCACTTTCACTTTCACACTGGCCAACTTTTAAGATGCGGATTTATGAGGCAATATTGTACATTTTTAATACAGATGATAAATAACGTTATCTTGAGCTGTGATTGTGGTAGGTAGTGCACCTCCTAATTGTGGTAGGTAGTGCACCTCCTAATTGTGGTAGGTAGTGCACCTCCTAATTGTAGTAGGTAGTGCACCTCTTAATTGTGGTAGGTAGTGCACCTCCTAATTGTAATGGGTAGTGCACCTCCTAATTGTGGTAGGTAGTGCACCTCCTAATTGTAGTAGGTATAGTGCACCTCCTAATTGTGGTAGGTAGTGCACCTCCTAATTGTGGTAGGTAGTGCACCTCCTAATTGTAGTAGGTAGTGCACCTCCTAATTGTGGTAGGTAGTGCACCTCCTAATTGTAGTAGGTAGTGCACCTCTTAATTGTGGTAGGTAGTGCACCTCCTAATTGTGGTAGGTAGTGCACCTCCTAATTGTGGTGCTATTTGATTCTATATAACATATTCTTTAGTGACTAGTGAACTAAATAAAACTCACTTCTTTAGGCTTGTCCTGATCTTTCTCTGGTGTTGCATTTTTCTTCAGTGTCTTTTTCTGGCAGATATTTACTTGAGAAAATTAAAATGAAGGTTTGGCCTAAAATATTATTCTTTATAAAAAACCCCTCATTGAAACACTAATGTAGTAGTGTTATTGTACTAATGTATTTTACATAATTAAATAGAACAACTCACTCTCAACTCTTTAGCTTCTTTAGCAGCTTCTTTAGGAGAATCCTTGGGTGGTCCGGAACGCTGAGTACCAGTACCAGTACCAGTACCAGTACCAGTATCCGGATCAAGAAGCTCCTTGTGCCGACTGGACGCGGACCTAAAGCTGAACCACGGCATGTACCCGCTCCTATGTGATCTCTATTACATGTGAAAGCATGTTAGGATACAACTACAACTGACAACAGCACAATGACACTAGTAGTAGTAGTAGTCAATAAAACAGCAGTAGTATCGTCACATGATGTCAAAGGACTGTTATTTTTATCTAGATCGTTATTTGACCAAACAGAGATGTTAATGCAGTTGGTGATAACGTATTGACTATTGTTAAAATATGCTTTTTTAAAGGCTTGACAGTCTGTGTGGTAATGGATATGCAACGACAGGTAAATGGGGGGGGGGGGGGGGGGGGGGGGGGGGGGGGGGGGGGGGGTGGGGGTGTAAAATAGCTTTCACTATTCACTTTTCTGTGCGTTATCACGTGACTTTTTATCTCACGGTTTTGCGGTCCCAACCTTTACCCAAGGATTCATTGATTGGTTGAGGAGCACAACCCAAAGTCATTACTCGGCACTAAGGCCTTAAAATATTTAATTACAATCAAATACAAATATTTGCACACATTTATAATTAATATTATGACGCTATTAGAAAATGTAAATGAATCTTATCTCAAGGGTCGACCGGGACCGCTTTTTTCTGGCCGGGAGCATACTGAAAAAAGGTGCAGGGAGTGGGACTAAAACTGGGGCCGGGATTTGCGGGTTACAAAAATGTATCTTGTATTGCCATGATAATTCAATAAAATATTCGATTGTGGGTGGACACGTCTTTTCAACATTAAATTGCTCATATTATAGTCTTTGTAAACATGGTAGAAACCCCATGTTTACAAATGACAATAGATCACAATTGAAGAAGCTAGGCAATTGTTTGGTCATGTGGTGAGTACTATCTTCATGTGGTGAGCACTATATTCATGTGATGAGCACTATCTTCATGTGGTGAGTACTATCTTCATGTGGTGAGCACTATCTTCTGCGCTGGATCTCAAAGCAACAGGTCTAGAGGCAAGCCTCACTGGTGTTCTTGAGGATGTCGCTCTATTCACAGGTGTCAACAGGCTCACGATGGAAGTTAGCAGAGCAACAGACAGGATACTACATTAGAAAGGTCCCACTCCAACGACTAGGAGGACACCTTTTCAAGTAAGCACTGTTATTGATTCTCATTTGACGATTATTTCAAGAAAATGTTTGAATGGACTTAATAATGACAGTGTTATATTTTTTATCTATAATAGCAATTAACACGTAACTGGGTAATCCCAAACCTACTTATCCACACCCCCCCCCCCCCCCACCAACCCCCCCCCCCCCCCCCCCCTATTTTAAAGCACAGTTTTACGAATGCCGTGCCTACACATTTGTTTCCGGTTAACTTAGTGGTTTTGAATAAGCTGAACCACTGAAAGAATGAACAGTGAAGTTGGGACGATGTAAGCACGTGGCAGACGAGAAATCGGGGCCGTTTCAAGTACTAATAAAAACAATTGTAGTGTGTCGCCACGCGTCACATTATATATACAGATATCTGAGCTACCCAGCACGAGCCCGCTGCCATACTAGAGCTACCTCCAAATAAGCGCTAATCGAAACAAACGAAAGAACTTCTGAATCCGTTGTAAAGAAAAGATTTCTTAAGAAATGCTACATATTGAGCAATCTGTGCAATAATTGATTCTAAGTGTAACTATATATAATATAGTGTAACTATATGCCTTCAGAACTCAGAAATTCTTTATAAAATTTACACAAATCGACAATTTTGAATTTAACGTTTGAACTAATGGAAAATTCACTAAAGTGTGTTTCTCAAGCTTGTGTCAAACATCGACAAAAGATATTAGAAATATTAGAGTTAATAAACAAAAGGGACGCCAGCAGTTTGTCACGAAATAGAGGAATATTTATGGTATAGAAATACTAATTACGAAACACAAAGCAGGAATATAAGTAGTGAAGTCAATCCCGACATCGGGATTCCCGAATCCCTCGATTTGACGATTTCCCGACGATTTTCAGTCGGGAATTTTCAACATTTGTCGGGAATTTTCAATATTTGTATTGCAAATCTTAGAATATTCTAATGAATTTACTGCAATATAGTTACACGGTAGCGCTAATCAGATTTTCAAACGTCGTGGAGACTGATAGCATGTATCGTCAAGGTTAAGAAAGAAAAAAAGAAAGCGCTATGAGTTTCTGGACGAAACAAAAGGTTCGTCCAGCAGTCCTGAAGCTAGGACACTCAAACATGGTTTAAGGGGAAGATGCTGGCGTTTATGGACGCTACTATAAAAACAATCGTCCTGATCGATTGAACCTGGACGGACCTTTACAGCTGGCAGGACGCAAACAAAAGTCCGTAGTAGAACGGGCCCAAGTTGTTTGTGCAATGCCAATAGTAGTGTTAACAAGGTACTTTTTGAGTTCAAAAGAAGGCTAATGATGACACTTGTGGTATCTTCTTGTGACATGATGAGGCAGCTTTAATTGTACTATAATTGACATTTTTAACAGTATGCAAGTACAACCAGAAAAGATGAGTCATGGACATGAATTTATTACACAAAATGAGGGCCATTTGCTTTCGGGAATCCCGATTTTCGGAAAATCCCGGGATTTTTGGCTCGAATCCTGGGATTAATTATTTTGATCGGGATTGACTCCACTATTAATATAAGACTAGAACTAGGCGCTGTGTCAGCTAGAGAGCGTGTAAATCATGGGTATTGATGAGATTAACACGTGGTCAACACGTGACTAACACGTGATTAGCACGTGGTAGGTGCTATGTAGAACATTGTACCCCATCAGGAGAACATTGCACCCCATCAGGAGAACATTGCAACCCATCAGGAGAACATTGCACCCCGTCAGGAGAACATTGTACCCCATCAGGAGAACATTGTACCCCATCAGGAGAACATTGTACCCCATCAGGAGAACATTGTACCCCATCAGGAGAACATTGTACCCCATCAGGAGAACATTGTACCCCATCAGGAGAACATTGTACCCCATCAGGAGAACATTGTACCCCATCAGGAGAACATTGCACCCCATCAGGAGAACATTGCAACCCATCAGGAGAACATTGCACCCCGTCAGGAGAACATTGTACCCCATCAGGAGAACATTGTACCCCATCAGGAGAACATTGTACCCCATCAGGAGAACATTGTACCCCATCAGGAGAACATTGCACCCCGTCAGGAGAACATTGTACCCCATCAGGAGAACATTGTACCCCATCAGGAGAACATTGTACCCCATCAGGAGAACATTGTACCCCATCAGGAGAACATTGCACCCCGTCAGGAGAACATTGTACCCCATCAGGAGAACATTGTACCCCATCAGGAGAACATTGTACCCCATCAGGAGAACATTGTACCCCATCAGGAGAACATCGTACCCCATCAGGAGAACATTGAACCCCATCAGGAGAACATTGCACCGGTTCAGGAGAACATTGCACCCCGTCAGGAGAACATTGCACCGGTTCAGGAGAACATTGCACCCCATCAGGAGAACATTGCACCCCGTCAGGAGAACATTGTACCCCATCAGGAGAACATTGCACCCCGTCAGGAGAACATTGTACCCCGTCAGGAGAACATTGCACCCCGCCAGGAGCGCATTGCACCCCATCAGGAGAACATTGAACCCCATCAGGAGAACATTGCAGCCCGTCAGGAGAACATTGTACCCCATCAGGAGAACATTGAACCCCATCAGGAGAACATTGTACCCCATCAGGAGAACATTGTACCCCATCAGGAGAACATTGCACCCCGTCAGGAGAACATTGCACCGGTTCAGGAGAACATTGCACCGGTTCAGGAGAACATTGCACCCCGTCAGGAGAACATTGCACCGGTTCAGGAGAACATCGTACCCCATCAGGAGAACATCGTACCCCATCAGGAGAACATTGCACCCCATCAGGAGAACATTGCACCCCATCAGGAGAACATTGCACCCCATCAGGAGAACATTGAACCCCATCAGGAGAACATTGCACCCCATCAGGAGAACATTGAACCCCATCAGGAGAACATTGCACCCCATCAGGAGAACATTGCACCGGTTCAGGAGAACATTGCACCCCGTCAGGAGAACATTGCACCGGTTCAGGAGAACATCGTACCCCATCAGGAGAACATTGAACCCCATCAGGAGAACATTGCACCCCATCAGGAGAACATTGAACCCCATCAGGAGAACATTGCACCGGTTCAGGAGAACATTGTACCTCATCAGGAGAACATCGTACCCCATCAGGAGAACATTGAACCCCATCAGGAGAACATTGCACCGGTTCAGGAGAACATCGTACCCCATCAGGAGAACATTGCACCCCGTCAGAAGTGCATTGCACCCCATCAGGAGTGCATTGCACCGGTTCAGGAGAACATCGTACCCCATCAGGAGAACATTGCACCCCGTCAGAAGTGCATTGTACCCCATCAGGAGAACATTGCACCCCATCAGGAGAACATTGCACCCCATCAGGAGTGCATTGCACCCCATCAGGAGAACATTGCACCCCGTCAGGAGAACATTGCACCCCGTCAGGAGCGCATTGTACCGGTTCAAGAGCCTTTGTCCCCGAAATTATGCACACTTCGTTCGAATGTAGCCTTGTGGAATGTGGCTGAAGCGGGGTGCAGGTAACAAAAGCAAGGGTATTATCACTGAGAGTAGGGACTCTTCAGTGCATTAGGGAGATGTGAGAGGATTGCTTGCGGAGATGTGAGAGGCACCTCTACAACTCTGCACCACGCGTTATACACAAAGTGTGTAGCAGTAAAGTAGACGTACACCCAGCAGTGTGAACAATGAGAGGGAGAGCGGGGAGGGCGCTCAGAGAAAGAGAGCGATAATGACGTAATGGGGGAGAGAGAGAGAGAGAGAGATAACGAGGGGGGTTAGTCCAGGATCTATAGTTGATAGTGAAAACGCGCCCTGCACGTGCACATACATGTAATATTGTAGGGTGGTATTATAGTTATTATATCTGCACGTGCAGGGGGTGTTATAATGTATCTGTTTCGCATCACGAAGTTGTAGACTTCAGGATTCAAGTTGTAGACTTCAGGAACAAACAAAATGATACCCTGGGCTATATTCACCAAATATGTCAAAGTCCAGAGATAGCTCATAGCTGAAAGATCAGAATTTGACATTTCCAGATTCTTTATCTGGACACCGCATGCGTGTTTAATAATATCAATAATTAAATAAGGCTGCATAGTGCATTCGTATTATATAACGTATTTAATGATAGTACATATGAGTACTATTATCAATGCTTGCTACGAGATAGTAATAGACCAGAGTCTAGTCTGCTTTGATCTACAGTGAGGGATTGTATCTACATGTAGATAGGTACATCTGCACTACAGATAACATGTTTCATAACATGTTGGTCTATCTCTGACTTTTATTTGTTCCAATTTGATTAATTGAAGGATTTTTTAGCGTCCCTACAAATATTTTTCTATGCACTAAAAAAAGAAGGTCATGCCTTTTTCAGGAAGCTTTTTGTTCCCCAGCCGGGATGTGGTACATTTCCAGGCCAAATAGGACGATTTTCCGCATAGCCCCCCCCCCCCCCCCCCGCATAGTGGCCGGATCTGCGAGCCCTTTGTAACACCACTGCTCCTGCAGTTCAAGTTAATATTAAAAGTATCATGCTACTACGCGTCAGGGTGCTTCTGTTGTCTGTTGATAATATGATCAGGGCACATTGCTAATACAGCAGTGAGCAGAGCCGTCTTATTTATCAACACTACTTCTTACCTTGTAGCGCCGCTCATTCACTCATTTGTACGTGTTATACAATATACAGCTGTCCTGTATCTCTGTAGCTTCACGTGGTCTTCGTATGTTGTGTTTTAACTCTAACTTTATGTGCGCCGTTTTTTCGAAAATGTAGATTTTTGTGCTCAAGTTTCAGTAGTTTCATGTAGATCTCAAATTATTTAATTAACCCTTAGTAGCCATAAGGTTAAATGAATAAAATAAGATGACATGATAACGAAATTCCAAACTGAACCTATTGCCTATATCCGCGTAATATAGGTCTTAAATAAGCCCTCAATAAGTGTGATCATAGGACCAAGTGTGATCACTGAACCAAGTGTGATTACAGGACCAAAAACAACAAAAACCTGCCTCTGATAAAAACGAGTGCTTTTAGTTTTATTGAGCTATCACTGTGTTTATAATTAAGGTACACAAGATATTCTGACGATATATAATGGAGGAGAAGGTAAAGAAACTGAACTTGTTGGCACGTAGCCAGGACTTTTTGGCACGTAGCCAGGACTTGTTGGACCTCCAAACCAGCGGTTCAGTCAACAGTAATGGTAGGTTTACTTATTAGAGTGTATTATAATCAGATAATGGTATGTTTACTTAGTAGAGTGTATTATATTCAGATATTAAGCCTACTTTTTAACTTTCTATATCAGTAACTAATATTAATTATGGAAGGCGGGGGGGGGGGGGGGGGGGGGCGGGGGATTATATACCAAGTGTACTATGTAATCTAGTACGTAGATTATGTTCGAAGAATATAAGATTTAGAAAAATGTACGTATTGATTATGATTTTCAAATGAATAAAATGTATCTTTAACATAATATCATGAAACGTCTTTTCGATAATTACCATGTGATTGTGATGTTGGAAATGAACCGTCCCTATACTCCCCCACTATTTAAAATAGTGACTAGCGTACCTTCTAGTTTTACGAATTTTAATACCTTTTTTAATTTTTACAAATAAATCGGAAACTGGCCGTTGTTTAAATTTTAAATCAGCACGGAACAATTAATTGTTCCTTGCTAATTTAAAATTTAAACAATGACCAGTTTCCGATTTATTTGCATAGTATAATTAATACAGCAGCAAGTGGCACTGCAAGTCACAGTCCAATTTATAATTTATTTAAAATTTTGACCGCGATTAGTAAAATTGACAAACAATCGCGTATCGAGCTTTAAAAATCAGCTTGTTGAAAATGTTTAATTCAGGGTTTGCTGTAGCATGTAGATATTGTGAGAATTGCTTGAGACTATTTTATCACCGACAAAGCATTGTCCTTTTACGACACTCACATAGTTGGTCTGATGATTGTGTGCCGTATTTATCTTGCAGTTTATTTTGCAGCTGATTATCTGTTTAGTTGTTATCTGCTCGTTAGGTTTTTAGATCTTCTAATTCGAGAATCTGGATCTTAACATTGTCTTTGCTAAAACTACCTATTAATTGGACGCTGGACGCCCTATTGTTCATTTAAATAAAGTATGTCGGTCCGTCAAAGTCCGTTGAAAATTGTTCCCAAAAGTATTTCACTACGAACTTATACATAATCGTCCAGGATATAACTAATTTTTCATTTCGGTCAATTTACATTTTCATCATCGGACTGAATTATATCATTGGATCAATTAAAAGCAATTTATTTACTGTTATGTATTAAAAATCTATCGAAAAATTGGAAAAAAACGCTCAAAAACTTGGAATTTAGTCTTCGAGCATTCAAAATGATGCCCTTCACGCAATGTCCGGGCGAATAAGGTCCGATAAGATAACGTGTAGTCTACTAGTATAACCAAGTGATTCTCACACCCGTCCGTTAATTCCTGAAACTACTCTAATTGTACGGTTACCCTGGAAACGTAATATTACACCAGGATTTATAAGTCTAACATGACTCTTACTGGATTACGTTGTGATCTGCAGTTTGGTTGTGTTTTAGTTTTACAGTGTTATGTCCGTTATATGCATACCACCGTTACGCAACGTTACGCCTAGTTACCACCTAGTTACCACCTAGTTACCACCGTGACGTTACATTTTCATTATCTAGTGCTTGTTAGATATTTTGATGTGCAATATGCTATTATGTGAATATATTTGCAGTTGTACATTTTGTAGTATTTTTGATAAAGTCGCTCATTTTTGAAGTTTATATTCTTCTACCTTCTACTCGCAGTGTGGTGAAGAAAGTGGCAAATTAAAATAGCTTTATTTATACAACGCGCAAATAATTTTCTCATTTTCTCTACGCTAGCTAGTGACTACGTTTGTACCCTGCAGCGATGCAGCCGGATTACAACTTCAGCCGCCCGGAAACAGCCGGTACGACAAGTAGCAGTATGTACCCCTCCTCGGACAAGAGCTTCGCTTACAGCATCATATCCAGCAAGTTTCAGTCAACAGGCGAGGTTAGACACGTGTCATGTTATACTTACTTACAGCGGAGTTGTCAGTTAACTGTTATACTTACTTACAGCGGAGTTGTCAGTTAACTGTTATACTTACTTACAGCGGAGTTGTCAGTTAACTGTTATACTTACTTACAGCGGAGTTGTCAGTTAACTGTTATACTTACTTACAGCGGAGTTGTCAGTTAACTGTTATACATACTTACAGCGGAGTTGTCAGTAAACCGTTATTTACAGCGGAGTTGTAAGTTAACCGTTATACTTACTTACAGCGGAGTTGTCAGTTAACCGTTATACTTACTTACAGCGGAGTTGTCAGTTAACCGTTATACTTACTTACAGTGGAGTTGTCAGTTAACTGTTATACTTACTTACAGCGGAGTTGTCAGTTAACCGTTATACTTACTTACAGCGGAGTTGTCAGTTAACCGTTATACTTACTTACAGCGGAGTTGTCAGTTAACTGTTATACTTACTTACAGCGGAGTTGTCAGTTAACTGTTATACTTACTTACAGCGGAGTTGTCAGTTAACTGTTATACATACTTACAGCGGAGTTGTCAGTTAACTATTATACATACTTACAGCGGAGTTGTCAGTAAACCGTTATACTTACTTACAGCGGAGTTGTCAGTTAACCGTTATACTTACTTACAGCGGAGTTGTCAGTTAACCGTTATACTTACTTACAGCGGAGTTGTCAGTTAACCGTTATACTTACTTACAGCGGAGTTGTCAGTTAACCGTTATACATACTTACAGCGGAGTTGTCAGTTAACCGTTATACTTACTTACAGCGGAGTTGTCAGTTAACTGTTATACTTACTTACAGCGGAGGCGAGTTGTCAGTTAACTGTTATACATACTTTCAGCGGAGTTGTCAGTTAACTGTTATACATACTTACAGTGGAGTTGTCAGTTAACTGTTATACTTACTTACAGCAGAGTTGTCAGTTAACTGTTATATTTACTTACAGCAGAGTTGTCAGTTAACTGTTATACTTACTTACAGCGGAGTTGTCAGTTAACTGTTATACTTACTTACAGCGGAGTTGTCAGTTAACTGTTATACTTACTTACAGCGGAGTTGTCAGTTAACTGTTATACATACTTACAGCGGAGTTGTCAGTTAACTGTTATACATACTTACAGCGGAGTTGTCAGTTAACTGTTATACATACTTACAGTGGAATAATGTTTAACTAAAATCTCTTTCTAAATCCTGACTAATTAGACACAGGTGCTACTACTACCCAAAGTGAACGCAAGAAGATCCATAAGGTTTGACAAGGAGATGACTGGTCCCAAGATAATGGCAGTCAGAGAAACCGCTCAGTGGCTCATAAGGTTAGTTAGCTCATAAGGTTAGTTAGCTCATAAGGTTAGTTAGCTCATAAGGTTAGTTAGCTCATAAGGTTAGTTAGCTCATAAGGTTAGTTAGCTCATAAGGTTAGTTAGCTCATAAGGTTAGTTAGCTCATAAGGTTAGTTAGCTCATAAGGTTAGTTAGCTCATTTAAAGGTTAGTTAGCTCATAAGATTAGTTAGCTCATAAGGTTAGTTAGCTCATAAGGTTAGTTAGCTCATAAGGTTAGTTAGCTCATAAGGTTAGTTAGCTCATAAGGTTAGTTAGCTCATAAGGTTAGTTAGCTCATAAGGTTAGTTAGCTCATAAGGTTAGTTAGCTCATAAGGTTAGTCAGCTCATAAGGTTAGTTAGCTCATAAGGTTAGTTAGCTCATAAGGTTAGTCAGCTCATAAGGTTAGTTAGCTCATAAGGTTTGTTAGCTCATAAGGCTAGTTAGCTCATAAGGTTAGTTAGCTCATAAGGTTAGTTAGCTCATAAGGTTAGTTAGCTCATAAGGTTAGTTAGCTCATTTAAAGGTTAGTTAGCTCATAAGGTTAGTTAGCTCACTAGGTTAGTTAGCTCATCAAGTTCGTAATCTGAAAAATATTTCATGCAATTTTAATCAATTGTAAATCGAATGCTTTGATTTGATTAAGTTGCTCACTTAATTTGAATTACATTTTTTGAAACTTTCGCATCATTGACTAGATTTCTGTAATTTAATTTTGAATTTCACTCAGTAACAACAACCGAATGACAGACGACCTATCAAAAGAGTGTAGAAGACTGGATGATTCCTATCTGAAATGGTATCGGAAACATTTCAACGAGGTAAAACTAAATAATTGGGGAGGGGGGAGGGAGGCTGAGTCAATAATATGCTTTATTGTAATTTATTGTAGGCAATACTTAATTAATCATTTTTTCTTACATTTTCGCAGAAAAAGGACGTGCTGGAAAAAGTGAGCAATCTTCTGTCACATGCGAAAAAGGAGAAAACTGAAAGGTAGGCACCTGACACAGTACGTTGCAACAAGCTGTATTAAATCTCAATTCTAAAAACCTACATTATTGAAGGCCCTTCTTTTGGGGTAACTATACCTTCATTTTGAGCCCCTTCTAATTTACGAGGGCTGTGTAGAGACTAGATAAAACTGAGATAACCCCTCAGATGCAGATCCTACCAGTCGTGCTACAAGAAGAGCTCAACTCCAGCTAGCAGAATGAAGAGTACCAGATCCACCACCCACCATCGTGCTGGCGGCATATTCCCTACAGAGCTACCCGATGTGGAGGTCGTAGATAATGATAAGGTATTTGGAAGGAAACCTACCGGCCTTCTGCCATTTAACAAACTGCTTTTAATTGTTGACTCCTTGCAGCCATCATAAGGCATCATATGGTGCATTATTTAGCGTTATATGACCACTTTAAATTTAATGATAGAAATCCATTTTTCCATGTATAATTTTTAGGCTTATGAAAGTTTATGTTTCCTAGAACAAAAATTGAAAATTGCCATGTACTCCAGTAGTAATTCTCTTGTTACTTCAGTAGCAGGGGTGTAATGCTCTTGCTACTTCAGTAGCAGGGGTGTAATGCTCTTGCTACTTCAGTAGCAGGGGTGTAATGCTCTTGCTACTTCAGTAGCAGGGGTGTAATGCTCTTGCTACTTCAGTAGCAGGGGTGTAATGCTCTTGCTACTTCAGTAGTAGGGGTGTAATGCTCTTGCTACTTCAGTAGCAGGGGTGTAATGCTCTTCCTGCTACTTTCGATAAAATAAGAATAAATGATATTACGTTCCTTTGCAGAGGTTCCACTATATCTTTTTGAAAAAGGAATGGTAATTTAAACCGCCCAGCGCCCGCCCCAGCACCCACGCCTAGTAATATAATTTGTAAAGTAACCAAGTTTACTAGTTTATACTCTTTTACCTTACCAATAGCCCTCATTTAGCACTTGAATTATCGCATAAACGCATATTACATAATAATAAACGCATTATTCAGCTATTACATTGAAAAACTCTCCTCCTCAGGATCATGCTACCACTAATCCTCAAAATGCTTTAAATTCCCTGACAATATTTTGCTCGATCATTCAGAAGCACGTTTTTTGACCGCTTCATTCTTTCCAATTATTATTATTTATTTTCTCATTTACCTAATGCTGACCAATTAGTTCCTAGGTCGAACAAAAGACCGTGGTCCAAATAGATTCCACCGGAGATAAGCCGGAGGGAACCCCTAAAAAGGAGGGAGAAGGAACCCCTACAAAGAAGGGAGAAGGAACCCCTACAAAGGAGGGAGAGGGAACCGTGACTGAAAATAAACAGAAAAACGGCCTAACAACGAAGCGAGGGTTGTCACGCGAGGAGAGGAATGGTGGTGTTCAGAAAACACCTGACAGTGGTAAGAAAGGAGTGAGGATTGTCGAGCCTGAGTCAAAACCAACCAAGAACTGAACAGTACCCTACGTCCTAATGTGGGGATAACTTGCGAAATGTGAACAAGTAATCTAAAAGGACGATATTCTTTATTTAAATAGTTTATAGTTTAAAGGAGGAGATTTGGTTAGATTACATTAGGGTTATATATAGGGTAGGTGGGGTGTATTGAAACATAGTGTGTGTACGGGGTCAGTACGGGGTATGTACATACTACTAGTACTACTGACCACTGATTACTCAACATGCAAATTGAAACAAAGTTTTAAAATCTTTACTTAAAAACACGATATATGTACAGCAAACGAAGTCCATAAAAATGCTACTTAAAAGCTTAAAGCGTGATCTCTACAAATGGCAGCATTTTATTTAGAATTCAATTCAAACAGAAAAAAATTAATGGCCATTTTCTTAATCTAAATCGAATGACAGATATAAATTTTTCCTCAACCAAGGCTTTTACCTTCAAATCTCAACAGAACAGGATAAAATCACACAATTTTCTATTCTAATGTTTCCTAAAGATCCATGATTGACAAAGAAATTATGCAAACTACTGCTGCCTTGAGTAGCGTATACTGTAATAGCTAACAAAATTCTGCATCATTTCAAATCTGTTACTCTTCTAAAAGTAATCAATTCTTTATGAAAGCTAAAAACTAAAAGAAGTTTTTTAATGTCTGTGGGATTGTCTCAGGAGTACACTCAATTCTCACTGATATTTTAAATTAGAAGTAAACTACGCGAAAGAAGTCAGCTGGATTTCTTGTGTTTCGTAAGAAAATCTCGGATTTTCTGTTCGTTTGCTCCAGAGAACTCTTCAATCTGAAAGGGAAAGTGAAAGGGAAAGTGAAAGGGAAAGCATCTGACCGAAAGTTGGTATTGTACAAATTTAGATTATTACAAAGCAATTCTTGATCGGTAAAAGTGTGTAATGTTTACCTTAGTGCAGCGCCTAAAGAACTGGAAGGTGGGAACACATGTAATGCCGCATGCTTGAGATGTGGTCTGAAAGAGAGTGTATATTTGATTAATACAATTTCAATATTACAGTTTTATAATGAGATTTATATAAGTTAGAAAAATATATGTTGAGCTGTAACTTACTACTTACTACTACTTACAATGTTATCATCTACATTGATCTGGTAGAACACTACGTCAGGGTTTTCTTTAATGATATCCTGGATAAGGAATTACTTGTTAAATTATTCATGTTTAATGTCATCCTTTATTGAGATTGTTTAGAAAAATAATTTGTTTCTATGTTATTGGTGTTGAAAGATGTTAGACGGCAGGGGTGTAGGAAGCTGACGGTCAATGCTGGGGCTTATCAAAATTCCATCAATAATCATAACTATAAATCCATAATTTATTAAAAAGCATGCAGATCCGAGCTTTGATTTCCTATTAAAGTACCTGAACTTTGGGGCTAATAACTCTGCAAGGTCCGCACCATCTCGCTGAAAAAACGAAAACTAGCAGTTTCTCGTGCCCTCGTTCCAAAGCGTCTTCAAAATCCGTCTGAAATTAGAACGGTTAATTGGGATGCTGATAACAATATTGCCTACACCCCTGTATCGTGTCATATCATGAAACTAAAGATACGATAAAAAGTCAGAACAGTAACGTCTAGTCTGAAATGCCGGAATTTCTAAGGTATGTCATGGTAAGATGTACGGAAGACCACCATGCCTTCACAGCATCGATGTTGGAAGATTAATTATTAATTAATTATTAATTAATTCAAACAATCATGGTTGCTGATTCGATGTTACTTCATCACATTCATGGCCGGCGTGCGCGCGCATTCATTTACATTACACAAATTGAGCGGATGAATGCGTTATCATATGAAAATTGTTTAGCGCGTTACATTTATTCCACACAATCTTTTGTCCCATTCTTGATTCTGGACGGTAATCGGCGTTTAAAAGTATTAAAGTTAAGAAGAATGAGTTAACTAAACATTTACACAACCTTTTCTCCAATGACTTGAGCAACACACAGCAGCATTTTTCTATCCTTTTATGAAATGTCGTATCTTAATCATGAAAAGGAAGTTGCACAATGAAGTCTGGAATTTACAAATTTTAAAAACCCGTCTTCATTCAGTTTAGACAACTAATTAACCAATTCCATTCACGAGCTAGAAAGAAGCTATTAGCAGTGAAAAGTTGCTTTCACATCGAGAAATCGTGTCATTTTGAGGTCTGCAGATCTGTTTAGCGGTGGCGTTTTGAAAGAAATTCCTACAATGAATACAGACGGAATGGACAGAATGACCTATACATAATATATACAGCGGCATTCTTTCCATTGTCATTTGCCTTCAAAGTGCATACTAGCTGAATAAGCATAATGAGTATTATCGTCTCTTTTTTATCATTGGAAAAGCTACTGGTTTTTTGTCAACTAATGTCAAGTTCAAACTGTAAAATGCGAACAATGGTACGAACCATTTTCGAGCAAGGTTTTTACAAAAATGTGTTGAAAAATAAAGCACTGCCGCCCTTTGTTACACCACTGTCAAGATCCTGTAACAACCATCAAACGAAAAAGCCGGATATTCTCAGAATGTGGTGATGATGATGCTACATTGCGGTGGTAACTTAGGAGTACTTAACAAACTCTACCGGAGATACTATAAACTAATCTTGTAATGAAAGTTAAATCACTAGTGGACATTAAGTTTTAATGATCACAAAAATGTTGAGCAGACGTAAAACAGATTGTCGTCAGACTGTACAAGCTGGAATGCAATAGAGCAATAGTGGAGGAACATTAAACAGCACGTACCGTCAGACTGTACAAGCTGGAATGCAATAGTGGAGGAACACTAAACGTAGCGTGCTCACATGATGCCCTAACCGAGATCTGAAGCCAGCTGACATTTCTATGATTTCTATCAATCAGGGGTTTTCACCAACATTAACAAGAGATATTATCACACTAAAAATATGACAGGCAACACGTAAGATAAAGACAGTTGGTAAATGGCACCCCCTGACTGCCTACCCCTGACTGGCTACCCCTGACTGGCTACCTATTGACTGGCTACCCCTGACTGGCTACCCCTGACTGGCTACCTCTGACTGGCTACCCCTGACTGGCTACCTCTGACTGCCTACCCCTGACTGGCTACCCCTGACTGGCTACCCCTGACTGCCTACCCCTGACTGGCTACCCCTGACTGGCTACCCCTGACTGGCTACCCCTGACTGGCTACCCCTGACTACCTACCCCTGACTACCTACCCCTGACTGGCACCCCTGACTACCTACCCCTGACTGGCTACCCCTGACTGGCTAACCCTGACTGGCTACCCCTGACTGGCTACCCCTGACTGGCTACCCCTGACTGGCTAACCCTGACTGGCTAACCCTGACTGGCTACCTATTGACTGGCTACCCCTGACTGGCTACCCCTGACTGGCTACCCCTGACTGGCACCCTCTGACTGGCTACCCCTGACTACCTACCCCTGACTGGCTACCCCTGACTGGCTACCCCTGACTGGCTACCCCTGACTGGCTACCCCTGACTGGCTACCCCTGACTGGCTACCCCTGACTGGCTACCCCTGACTACCTACCCCTGACTGGCACCCCTGACTACCTACCCCTGACTGGCTACCCCTGACTGGCTAACCCTGAATGGTTACCCCTGACTGGCTACCCCGGCCCTGACTGGCTACCCCTGACTGGCTAACCCTGACTGGCTAACCCTGACTGGCTACCTATTGACTGGCTACCCCTGACTGGCTACTCCTGACTGGCTACCCCTGACTGGCACCCTCTGACTGGCTACCCCTGACTACCTACCCCTGACTGGCTACCCCTGACTGGCTACCCCTGACTGGCTACCCCTGACTGGCTACCCCTGACTGGCTACCCCTGACTACCTACCCCTGACTGGCTACCCCTGACTGGCACCCCTGACTAGTGACTGGCTACCCCTGACTGGCTCCCCCTGACTGGCTACCTAATGATGGACTGTAATTAATTCCACTAAGCGCCACATCTGGGCACTAACCTATATCTTCTGGCTACGTGCCAGTCTCCTAAATACCGGACAACGTGTAAAGTTGCTGAGTTGTAAAGTTTTATAATATAAATAGATAATGTCGATATATTAACTATTTTACTGTACTAATATACTTGTATCGGAAGCTCAACAAGGTTCACTGATGGAGTTAAAATAAAGTTCCTCTTTAAACTTTCAAAATAGAGACGAGAAGCTGGGAGCTCTCAAAGAATTCAAAAAAGAAATGACGAGAAATAGTAAAACATGAGGCAATCAACACTCTGTGACATATTGTGGGAAAGGTAGCTGTTAGCTACTGAGGGTAGGTAGCTGTTAGAGCTGTTAGCTACTGAGAGTCTACACTCCGCTCACGACACTTCATGCTAACTTCATGCTCACATCTGGTTGTGTTGTCTGGGTTAGAGTATAAGGTTTCTTAGAGTTAAAAAGGACCACCTCAAAACATAACAACACATGTCCGCGTGTAATTAAATGCATTGACGACATTATGACTGTTGCAGTCTGCACGATGTAAGAAGCAGGCCTTTATCAAGGTTTAAACTTTTAAATAACTAAACTTCAATCGGAGGCACTTATTTTAACTTTGGTAAAATCATACAGGAAGCTTTGAAGACCAGCTATTAAGATTTGATTACAGAAGGAAAATAGAATAGCATAACTAATATAGAAAATAGAACGTGACCTTGAACTAATCACCACGTGCTACTCACATCCCTGATCCCCCCCCCTATTACTAGAATGCCAACACCCCCCCCCCCCCCCCCCCCCCTCCCCCTATTACCAGACTGTCGGCTGTGATCTTCAAGGCTGTCCTTTTCAAGTTCGCAGATTATTTGCATTCGCGATTAATTAGCTAATTAGGTTAAGATAAGTATAAGTAAAATGAAGATAAGACGGTGTAAGGTGCATGTAATCCTGGAACTGCACTACTACTACTGCTGCACAGATACGGCAAATACGTCAAATGTTAGTTGATTAGCCGCACTAATGAAATGAAACACCTTGCACAGCGCCCTTACAGATTACTCAGGGAGACGGGTAAATTGTTCCGTTCGGTGCGTGACCAGGTTTATTAGCGTGCAATAGCGTGTCATACTTAGGTTTATTAGCAGCCAACAGGCTCATTACAACTCATAATTCTACATCATCCTTGTTAGATTAGAGGAATAATATATTGGCTTCGATTAGGATTTTCTAACCTTTATGAATCTAGTTAACTAAATAAGTAAATATTATTACCTGAAAATATCTCTCTTAAGTTAAGATTCAATATTATTCTATCTCTGAGGCAGACCTGCTTGGCTCTCTCCGCATATTACAGAGATTACAGCAGGCCACTCTCTCCAATTATGAGGTTAAGAATTTCGAAAAGTGTAATTTTAACAATATTTTCACACTTTTTAAAACTGTGAACCTCATATTCGAGAACCGCGTCAAATACACCACTTTTCTAGACAATTGTCCATGGAATAGCGTGACCAGGAACTACTGTATCAAGTATTAAGCCTCCAGGGAGTGGCTGGTAAAAAAGTTTGAGCTGTTTAAAATTTTGGGCTCGCCATTTCAGGAACGCAAGGTCGGATTTTGATCCGTTTTTTCCTTCTGTTTGTTTCTTCTATTCTATCACATAAATGTGAACTCCCTCTCTCGCCCCCCCCCCCCCCCCCCCTCCGGCCTCTAAGAGACCAGATACCAGGATGTCGTGTGGTACTATCATGACCATTAAAAGCTAACTTAATTGTACTGTTATAGCAGACATGTGTGTATTATTAAGTTATAATTGTTTTAAATGTACAGATCTGTAATTAGTGGAGCAGATCACAACAGTGTGGGAAATAACTAACCAGTAGTGAACAGAGGTAGTAGAACCTTCAAATGTAGGGAACCTTCAAATGTAGGGAATCTTCAAATGTAAAGAAACTTCAAATGTAGGGAACCTTCAAATGTAGGGAACCTTCAAATGTAGTGAACCTTCAAATGTAGGGAACCTTCAAATGTAGGGAACCTTCAAATGTAGGGAACCTTCAAATGTAGGGAACCTTCAAATGTAGGGAACCTTCAAATGTAGGGAACCTTCAAATGTAAAGAACCTTCAAATGTAGGGAACCTTCAAATGTAGGGAACCTTCAAATGTAGGGAACCTTCAAATGTAGGGAACCTTCAAATGTAGGGAACCTTCAAATGTAGGGAACCTTCAAATGTAGGGAACCTTCAAATGTAGGGAACCTTCAAATGTAGGGAACCTTCAAATGTAGGGAACCTTCAAATGTAGGGAACCTTCAAATGTAATGAACTTCAAATGTAGCGAACCTTCAAATGTAGGGAACCTTCAAATGTAATGAACTTCAAATGTAGCGAACCTTCAAATGTAGTGAACCTCGTGTGATTTGTACAATGACACTTTGAGCCTCATACTGTACAGTGTATCCCAATTATACACAACACAGGTACTGTTATAGTGAGCATCCTAATCGAATGT